ATTTTATGATAACCAGAGGTTCTGAACCTCTAATTGTTGTCTGCTAGTCAATATTACTGTAAATTCCCAACCAGTTATTTTACTCTTCTTGGGACTAAGGATACAAAACATACCCTGAAATAGATCGGAATTCGGAGTTCGTGTAAGATTGGGAAAAGTAAGCTGAAATGGTTGTGAAATTGTGTGAACAGTCTCATTCCTGAAAGGCTAATGGTAACTGAAATTGGTTTCCATCCGTACAGGGTTTAGGAATACAGGACGTAAGCAGTGGAGACTGTGAGCATCAAGTGGTGAATGACCTGAGTTAGGTTCCGTAACACTAATGTGAAATACATTATCTGGAGAAGTGTCAAAACTAACTAATCTCTCACTTCTGATCCTTGCTGGTGGGTGAAATAGACTGAAAATAGCAAGATGAGGATATCTGCTTCTAATATAAAAACTATCCTATGTTGTTGCTCTAAAAGAGCAACTTCATGGTGTAAGGTGTGGGGCTGTTGTTGTTTTGAGGGCTTATTTCTTTTTCTTGTACTGAATACCTCATGCAGTGTGTCCCAACAGCTGTCCTGAGAGCTTTTGAAAAAACTCTGAAATCTAAGTGAAATTTCTTCCTGCATAAGCCATCTGCCTTTTTGTGAATTTGAAAGGCTCAAGTCATCTCTTCAAGTGGTGTATAGCTGTAAGTGAGGCCCATTTAGGAATTAATTTTGCCTCACTTGCATGTCCCTGTGTACAATGGGAATCTTACAGTCTCTCTTACCAGTTTTTGAAGGGTGGCAGTTTGTCCTGAGGTGGAAAGATTTCTTGTGTTGTCTTCTCACGTCCAGCTAGAATGCACTGAAGTTTCAAAACCATGATGCTTCACTTAAAAGCAGATGGGGACAGGAATATTACTACCACATACCTCTTGGGATAATTATTTCTTGATCTTTTGATGTTTTTTTTACTTCTGTGTTGGCGGTGTTGAAAGCAAATAGATTTACTTGTGGTTGCTGAGCAGTTAGAACTTATGCTTTGGATAGGGCTTTTTCTTCAAATAATTACTTTAATGCAGTCCTGCTGACCATTCCATCATGAAGTCTTCACATATGTATACTTCAACATTTCACATTTTTGCAAGTTGAAAAAAATCTTATATATTGTATGTAACATACTCAGTAATTACATTTCTGTAAAAGCATTTGTTGCATACAGTCCTTAATTACTGTAAGTGTAAAACTGTGATTAGTGACTCTGTTATGTCAAAGCCATTACTTTTTCTATGATTCTGGCTGAAAATCATGGAAGTTATTGTTTTCCTAATGTACTGAACTGTGCTTCTTTCTAGCCCAGATGTCAGAGCATTTCTTCAGATGGATAACCCAAAACACCAGTCAGATCCATCTGAAGATGAAGATGATAGGAGTAATCAGAAGGTAATAAAACATAGACATAGAACAGTCTCCTAAATTTTAGCTACTTGACAGCAATCTTAAGTGTATTACTTACAGAAGATTACCAGTTGGTTTTGCAATAAATCTCTCCTGTGATCTTCTGAACAACTGTTCTGCTGCTGGCTGTAAGATGTTTTCCTGTCTAGTATAAACTACAGAGAGAAGTAATCCTGATCATGAGCTTTGTCTTGCTTCTTCCCCACTTGCTGTGAGTAGAAGAGGCACAGATTGAGTTATAGTTTAGCTGTCAGTTTTTTCAGTCTGCTCAAGCACTCTTGCTAAGGATGACTGACAAGGAGCAGAGGCAATTGAATGATTTTTTGATTGTCTTTAAAAGAAAGAGAGATGCCATTAGGAGTTGGAACAAGGTGAACTTCAAGGTCCCTTCCAACACAAGCCATTCTGTGAAGTATAATTTTCATGAAGGAAAAAAAAAATTGCAATCTTTAAGTCGCTCAGGAGCAGAGATGAATTTAATTTTAGCTCACATTTAACACTGTGAGGTGTCAAGCCTCTTCTATAAGAAAAGCCCCTACAGAAGTGTAGTTTAGATGGGTTGTCTGAAAGTTAATTTACAGTCTTCAGAAACAGTGCTGATTGAAAAGAGTCTTTCTAGGAAGGCAGAAGTGCCAAAATTAAGTTTATTTTCTCTAGTTTACTTCATGGCCTTAGGACTTCTCTTTTTATTCAGTCTTCTTACAGAATATACGAGTAGGCTATTTGAATCAGCTGTGGATCACACACAATGCACTGTGTTTTCTCAAAGGTCTCACTTCCAAAGAATGCCAGTCCTTGCATTTTTTTTTTTTAAGTACTTGACAGCATAGTGAGCATACAGCAGAATTTAATTTAGATAACAGGTTTCCTCCCCTTCCTTTGAATGATACTTTAAATAATGTGAAAAGCTTCCATAGAAAATTAACAGTGTATTACATTATAACAAACTTCAAGATAAGCGGGGAACTCATGCTTAGTGGCTGAAATAATACACTGTAATAGGAAGTTAATACTGTCATAGTTACTGTAAGTGATGAAGATGTGTGACCAGGAATAAGAATGATCCCCTTCCCAATCCCTCCAGTACTGAAACTTGCACGGCGACTTTTCTAAAACTGCTGAGTACTGTTGTGTGATTGATTATTGGTGCAGTTGTCACATCTAGTGTTGATGTCAGGGCATGCTCTGTTTCTGTGGGCATGCTGATTTTTGTGATGCCTGCTGGCCCATCTCTGGATAAACTGTCCGTGAAGTTTGTTTTCTCTGATAAAGTCCAAAAGCACAGTGAGAGTACTAGTACTGCTTTTTTATTTAAAAATAAATTGGAGAAAATTGCTTAGACAAGGATGGTTTCCTCCTGCCCATATAATTTGTAAATTCCATCATCAGTGTGTACTGATAAGATTTGTGCCTTTCATGGAATTGAGTTAGTCATTACTGTCAGGATAGGAAAGATTCCTAGTGGTTTTTCTTGATAGAGGAAAATGGTTTTGTTTTTTAAAGCACCATATCCTTAATTAATTAGACTCTCGCATAAACAGTGGAATTTTACAGTAATTTCATTGGAATAAAATGTAGAAAGCATATGCAGAAGGGACTAAATTCTCCATGAGGAACATTGTTTGTTGACACAGTCTTAAATTTTTGTGCCTAATCTTGTCCTCTCCATTTGGACATAATTATTTTATTACCTTTATCCTTCCATATGGTGTATGTAGAAATGTTTTGTGAGAAGATGTTGATGGTACTTGAAACTTATGAAGTTGACAATCCTAGATATCTTTGAAGAGATATCAGAATATTTGATATCTTCAAAACCTATCAACAGGTGCGAAGATATAGCTTGAAGAAATTAGTATTTTGAAATTACTACTGGTTGAAGCATAAGAGGTTTATTGTGTTCTATTTGTTTCTTCCAACAGTTAAATTCTACCTCACCGAATATCAACTTGGGACCATCTGGAAATCCTCAGTAGGTTTTTCAGTTATCTATAAACTGAAAAATTAGACTGAATATTGTGTGTGCGTGTGTGTGTGTGGCTTTATCTTTTTTCAGCCCAGAAGGAAGCAAGACATTTAATCCTGTGTTGAGTAAATGAACTCTGTTAAGACATTTTCCTTTTCATCTTCAGGTTTTGTTAGTCTGCTGTCCTTTCACATGAGGATTCTATGGCAAAAAACAAACAAATGAAAAACAAAACCCTCTGTCTTTCTGGAATGGTCCCACAGCAGTTAGGAATGTGAAACATTCTGAAAACACATTTGTTTTAATGCATGAAAAAGGAGCAGCTTAACTTGTTGATATTACAAACTTTATCACTGCAGTTACAACTTGGTTCTCTGGTGTTTACTTCTGTAAACTACTTTCTCAGTTCTCTGTCTGCTTTCTTCATCTGAGAGATGGCACCTATTTTGATTTCTCTTTCCTCTCAGATTTTTTTCTGGGCTAACAGGAAGAAGTGCTTAACAGATTGCAATGAGAAATGAAATTGTAAGAGTGCTTCCTTTTGAGAGGCAATAAATGAAGAGGTATGTGTCATAACTGTTGTTTCAGAGGTGGAAAAGATAATTGTTTTGCTGACAACAATACCTCTAAATTGTGCTTAGGAAAAAGTGAGGTAATTAGTGGAAATTGCTGAAAGTAATGGTGACTTGGCAAATGGAAAAACTGTGTTCATACAAATAACACACATAGAAGAGGAAGGTGTTGGGGCCTCCCTCCTGTCACTTTAAACTAGGGAAGCAATGGATGGTAGGAAGGATGGGATGAGGAAAGAGAATGAATGATAAACTTCTTCCTTCTGTCATGTAAGCTTCAGAATCCGATTGGGTGTCTGGAAATGGGAGATAAGCTTCGGGAAGAGTCACGGGGAAAAGAAAACTTAAAAATTAGAAGAATCTTGAGTTTTTGGAGAATAGTCTTGCTCATCCTCTACATCTTACACTTAAAATGAAAAAAATGAAATAAATTAAAATGCTGCAGCTCTGACACTTTTTCTGGAGGAAAATGGAATTCCAAGATGAAGGGCAGCTTTGCAGAAGTCCAGTTGTTGATTAGAATGAAGAATTAAGAAAGGTGCTGACAGACTTCACATTACAGTTGAAGGGCTACACTAGACTTCTGTACAGCTTTGAAGCTTGTAATTTTTACCCAAATGACCTGTCTTCTTCCTAAATATCTTTCAGTGCTAAGCCAACGGACTTCGATTTCCTGAAAGTGATTGGGAAAGGCAGCTTTGGCAAGGTGAGCTTTCTGATTGCTGTGACTGGCTGTGGTGCAAGCGTGTCAGCTGGTATATCATGCATGGCATACAAACTCCCACATTGGATTCCTGTTGCTATTTCTCCATAGCCCTGCCATTGTTATTTTCTGATAGTACTTGTTGCCTGCCTTGGTTGCTTGTTGGGATTAAGAAAATCAGTTGTTTCTCTTTCTTGCTGAGAGCAGGGATCCTCTCTCGCCCCAAGAGAGGAAGAGGAGTTACCCCTGTGCTTATGCAGCTGGAGTACAAACCCTGCATTTTCCTTTGTTCTGCCTTCTCAAGCACCTGGTGCTATGGAGCAGTGCAAACATCACTGAAACAACTCTGAGCAATGCTGAAAAGTGACTAATATTGATACTTACCAAAGAGATGCATTTAGCCTTTCATTATATCAATATATAGACAGACTGCGCTGAACTGTAAGATCACTATAAGTGATTGACTATATTAAAAACAAAGAGACTATTGTGAACACATAATATTAATGCTTTTCAGTTATGCTGAAATTTGCAAGTCATCAGTGGAATGTGGACTGCAACCGTAACATTTCTTCATTTGTTTTGAATTTCACAGGTTCTTCTTGCAAAAAGAAAACTGGATGGGAAATATTATGCTGTCAAAGTGCTGCAGAAAAAAATTGTTCTTAACAGGAAAGAGGTACAAAGAAATGCACTTTCTCCACAGCTTTTTTCCCTTAATTACAAAATTGTGTCTGTTTACTTACTGATCCTTTACTTCCTTACAGCAAAAACATATCATGGCTGAACGTAATGTGCTTCTGAAAAATGTGAAACATCCATTTTTAGTTGGATTACATTACTCATTCCAAACAACAGAAAAGCTTTACTTTGTCCTGGATTTTGTTAATGGAGGAGAGGTATGTGGGGATTCTATTCGGATTTTATTCTGCAGTTCTGTTATTCTGTGGGAGGAACAAAATGATCCTTTACATTGGGCTGTGATCAGTATTCTCCCAAGTTTTGGAAATCCTGTTACTTAATCTCCAGTGATGCTATTCCTGCAGACTTCCGTAGATAGACAGACCCTGTTCCTCTTCTCATCAGCAACTTTAATACAGAATTAATTTATGGTTGTCAGATATAAGTATTGTCTCTTTGACAGTTACCTAAATTTATCTGTTACTAATTAATCATACATTGACATTTCTCAGCATGTAAAATTCTTTTCCTTTTTCATCTGCGTTATCTGAAGTGTTTGTATTTCGAAAGTGTGAGGAAGGAAACAAGTAAACAGACAACTGATTTTGCTATGACTTTTTTGGAAATCTTGGCATACTTCTGTGGCTTTGCAGATGTAATTGCTTACTGCCGAATAGCCTTATTCTCAGGATTCTTCTCCTTGGAGTGATGCTGTTGAGTACAAGGAGTCCATGAGTAACCTAAGGGAAAACTTTTAAAAGCATTTGAAAAGGTCTATAAATACTTGAATCAATGTTCTGGAGCAGCTTGCCTTTAGCTAGGAACATGTTGCTTTTCAGAGTACCTAGTACTTTCAAGAGTGCTCAAGAAACTCATGATTGAATAGCTACTAAACATGATAAGGGTATAAAACGTTCTTTTTATTTCTTCAAAAGAGATTATTGTATGCTAATTGTATGCTAATAATACCTGGACTTGTCTAGCATGAGTTGTCACATGATCACAAAGCGTAGTGAAAAATGATTGTGTGCAAGTAACTATTCAGCATAAATGCTTTAAAGGGAAACTGTTTGTACTTTAACAATACTGTTGTAGATAGTAAAACTAGTACCTGGCAGAGGATGGGAGAAGAAAGGGTAGAATTTACATTTGTTTGTTTCCGCATAACTCAGATTTTCCTGTTATGTCCCTGCATCTGAATACACTCAGGATATATGTATGTTGGTTGATATTCATAAAGACTACATGGCAGCATTCATGATGCTCCTAGAACTGAGATTCTGACTCCCTTTGAGTGCTGGAATCTGCACTTGATGGGCCTTTATATAGTCTGATGTACTGTCATCTTATTAGAAGAAAAACAAAACAAAGCAGAGCTAGAAAAACAAAGAATTGTTTCCATAGAAGAATGCCAAATGAAGCAGAGTACAGTTTCATATGTGTATGATTTGATCTTTGGCTAGACTTGTGCATATGCTCAACTTGTTTAAAGTCTGAAGACTGCCTGTAGTTGAGAACATTCATGGATCAGCAGTCTGGAACATACATCTCCCTAAATGCTCTCAGAATAGGACAAAACTGTGAATGCAAGGATATTCAAAAATGAAAGATTACTTGTGTGGCACCTGACTATCTATTAGGAGACTCTATGTGCTGTTGTGGATGCCCCATCACTAGAGGTGTTTAAGGCTGGGTTGGATAGGGCCCTGTGCAGTCTGATCTAGTACTTGGTCTAGCAGCTGGCAGCCCTGCCTGTGGCGGGGAGTGTTTGAATATTGATGATCCTTAAGGTCCCTTCCAACCCAAGCCATTCCATGATTCTATGATCTTGCATAATTGAATCGTGCCACCCTCAGTTAACATGGTTTTCTTTAGTTCTTTCCAACTAGTCTTGCTTTTAAGGGAATATCCTTGTTAGTAAGTTGTCTACGTATTTCTAAGCTGTGGAAGAGAAAAGGAAACGAGTGAAGGAGTGTTGTCAATTTTATTTCATTTTACATTCTTAAAATTGTAGGCAGCTGAATAAAATTACTGTTAAAATTATACCGTACTAACTTGGTTTTATGTATGATTTTTTTTTCTTATTTACTACTTTGCATATTTACAGCTGTTCTTTCATTTACAAAGAGAACGTTCCTTTCCTGAGCACAGAGCCAGATTTTATGCTGCTGAAATAGCCAGTGCACTGGGATACTTACACTCCATAAATATTGTGTACAGGTAGGTTTCTGAAGTGTATTCTTGTCCTGTGGAAGTTCAAAATAGGACAAATTAATATATAAAAATTACTGCATGAAATGATCTCGGGAAATTTGAACAAAATGTTTTCACCAAAATGTAAAGCTTCCTTTCAGCTGAAAAATAAGTTGTTGCCTTTGAAGCTTTTGTGTTAGTGACCACTGTTCTGAATTAATACAAAGATTTTTTTTTTTAATAGGGATTTAAAACCAGAAAACATTCTCCTAGATTCACTAGTAAGTAAGCAACATTTTTTTTTATTTTATACATTCTCTGTTAAAATTGACACTTATGGATTTGTAAATGCTGATTGCGTTCTGTTTTTTAAAACTCCGTTTCTTAAACAGGGTCATGTTGTGCTGACAGACTTTGGACTTTGTAAAGAAGGGATTGCAAGTTCTGATACTACTGCAACATTCTGTGGGACACCGGAAGTATGTTGATGACTTTGGCATCTTTTGGCTAGTAACAAATGGTTGTTGTGTGTTACTAGTTATGTAAATGGAAAATCAAATGTGTGTATTTATAGTTATGTATTGTTGAAGACTTAAATTCTTTTTACGAGTTCTTCCATGAAACTAAAGAGAAGTTTACTGCAGGTCTGTTCTTTGTACTACTTACCAACATTGAATACCTCCTTACTTAGCTACCCACATTCTCATAACTCATGTCTATCACCTTCCCTTTTCCCAGTGCCTTTCACATACTGTTTCTTCCCATGTGTCTGACTAGACATAAGACAGTTGGCTTGTGTAACAGCTGTAACAGATTTGCCAATAGGAATCTATTTACTTTATCCTGCCATTAATTTTTAGTAAGTTTAGAAGCACTTTGTATCTTTGAGACATGAACAAATTTTGGGTATGGGAGAAGCTTTGAACTTACTGACCCTATTGTCTTTTTTTTTACTAAGAAAAATGGACTGGAAAACTCAGAATCTGGAAGTCTTAAAAATGTATGAGGTATTCACCTAGATGTCAAGAGCAGTGGCTTTGATATTTTGATAAAATACACTTTAAATTACAGGAAAGGCCTTTGAACGCAGTGAAGGATGGGTGAGGAATAATGTACTGAAACATTTGAACTCAGAAGGGAAAAAAAAATAAGGACAACGTGTGACAACTTATCCTAGCTATCATTAGAGTAGGAATTTAGATGGTAAATCTGAGCTGAAGTAGCATTTGTTGGATTGTTTTGGAAAGCACAGTGTATATAAAACACTGATGGTTTTGGACTTGTTGGAGGACAATCTATGAGACTTTTGCCTTGTGCTCAGAAGTGTGGGCTTTGTGCTTATTGTGGATTTGCATGAACTGCAGCATAATAGGATGCTTAATATCAGCTCTTTAAAATACCAAGACTAAACATAGTAACTGAATATTAGTCTTTATATTCCAAGATTTAGGTTAAAATCTTTCATGATCCTGTGAGAAGTGTAATGATATTCTCTGTGTTTCTAAACACTGAGTTGAATGACTTAGTTCCAATTCACTAAGTAGGAAGTTATGAAAAATCAGAAAAGTTAGTTCAAAATGCTCTGCTGCTTTTCATGCTTTCTGTAGAGTTATCTATAGACAAATGAGGCACAGGGCACTCAAGCATATAGAAAGTTTGAGAAATTCTGATACCATTAAACAGTGACTTACCACCTCATTACAAATGATATATGCCTTGTCCATTTACAAATAGATCTGTTTTGTACATTAAATTTCAGAATGTGGATACTAGTGAGCAGTCTTTTGTTCTGAGAGAAGGGTTTAGAAACAGTGTGTGTGCTGTGTAGGTGAGGACTAAGATGATGAGGATCCAGCCACAGTAATTCTATACTACATGTCCACAACAAATAGCCTTGTACTGTGAAATGCCTGTGCTTGTACTACGGTATTAGTAAGTTAGTAGACTTCTTCAGAAACTATGACTAAAACCTAAAAACCTAGCTTTTATTATTGCTAGCCTAATGCTCTACCTCTTTTATTTGTTTGCTTTTAGTATCTTGCACCAGAAGTTATTAAAAAGCAGCCCTATGACAACACAGTAGACTGGTGGTGCCTTGGTGCAGTTCTTTATGAAATGCTTTATGGACTGGTATGTATTTAATATAGGTGGGAAAGTGCCATTAAGGATGCTAACTTTTTGCAGAGCATTGAAGTACTCTACTTCAGTGGATGAATGATTTGTCTTAACATAGCATCTGTTTTTCTCTTTGGGATTTTGCGTTGCCTCCCAATGTCTAAATCTTTGCTTTCCACTGAACTTCTGGACATCGGCTAAAGACAAACAGTGATAACTGGGGAAATGTTGAAGTAAATAGAATCAACAGCAATAGCACCCAATAAATTAAAACGTATTTTGGCTTGGGTCTTCCAGGATTTGTCCTAGATCTTCTGCTTCTTGATACAGTATTAAAAGAAAAAAAAATCTTACTGTACTTCTTTTAGTCATCTGTAATCACTCTAATAATAATCTGCTCTGCTAGTTTTCTTTCTAGTTTTATATGCGTCTGGATATTAAGTAGGGAAATCTGTTTTCCCACTCTCATTCTTCCCAGGCAAGCACAGTGGGAGCTTTGAATCTTTGTGGCATGTGTAGTTATGTTACCTGTGAGTGTGAGAACATGTTATGGAAAGAAGAGCTAGCAGGGGGAAGATATCAAACATGGAGACCTGGCTGTGTGAATGACTGAATTAGAAGTTAGCTTGTCTAAGATTTCTTCCTTCACTGTTAGTAGTTTGCTTCTTGCAGATTTGTTTGTTGGTCCATACACATGAAACAAAATGCTGATGTAGCTTTGGGTTAATATGTAACATTTGGGTTTTTTAGCCTCCTTTTTACTGCCGTGACGTTGCTGAGATGTATGAGAATATTCTTCACAAGCCCCTAGTCTTGCGTCCAGGAATCAGCCTCACAGCCTGGTCTATTCTGGAGGAGCTTTTGGAGAAAGATCGGCAAAGCAGACTTGGAGCAAGGGAAGATTTTGTATGTAATATCCTATCAAGCTCTTCTTCATTTAAAGAGACAATCTGAGTGCATCGTACAAGTTTAATAGCAGGAGATAGGAAATGCTTTTCTGTCCCTGTTTTTTTCTTTTTTTTCTTATTTGAAAATACCAGTTGTGGTTGAGTCCTGAAAGATGTTTGGAATAGGAAGGGGATAATTGTTGTGGGATATAATATTTTTAGCTTGATTAGTGTCAGGCCAGTCAGTAGGGAAACAATTCCTGGCATAGTAATTGCTAAGGTTAGTAAATCTAGGAAATAATCAAAAGAAAAGGCAATTTTCTGGTAATATCAGTTCAACTGACTACATAAAAAAGTGTTCCTCAAACACAGAATAGAATAATACTGTACAAGTAGCAGCTTTTTTTTTCTTCAGACTTAAAATCATAGTAAATGTTTTCCCAATACAACCGTGAATTTTATTTTATTTTACTTGCTAAAAGGTGTTGCTAGGAAGCACAGATGATTTCAGAAAAGTACAGTGAGGAATAATCTAGAAAGACTGTGCTTCCATCCATGAATAGTGAGTCTGCTGATTACAGCCTTCATGTTAGGTAGTGTGTTGACCTCGTCATGGAATGGCTTAGGTTCAGAGGGACATTAAAGACCATCCAGTTCCAATCTCATGGGCAGAGTTGCCAGCACTGGATCAGGCTGTCCAGGGCTCCATCCAGCCAGGCCTTGAGCACCTCAAGAGATGATGCATCCTCAAGTTGCCTGGGCAACCTGTTTCAGTACCTCATTGCTCGCTGAGTAAAAGTTTCCTCCTAACCTAATCTCCTCTCTTTTATTTCAAAGTCATGCCCTTTTGGTTTGTCACTATCAGACAGTGTAAAAAGCAATTCCCCCTTCTGTCAATAAGCTCCCCCCAAACACTAGAAGGCCACAATGAGGTCTCTCCAGGGCCTTCTCCAAGCTGAACAGCCTGTCTTCATAGGAGAGGAGCTCCACCCTCTGACTGATTTTTAAGTCTTAAAAGCAGCAAATAGGGTTTTAAAAGGAAACTAGTTTGTAGAGGCAGGCTAACACATTTTAATTCTCTTTTTGCCAGCTACAGCTTTTATTGCAAAATAAACTGTAAATGGAGAACTTCCTTAGGTTTTGTTTGTGTATTTTCTAAGATGGGATGGATTTCTGAAACATCTGTAATTTCTATTTACTGCAGCTTGAAATTCAAAAGCACCCATTCTTTGAATCTCTCAGCTGGACTGACCTTCTACAGAAGAAGATTCCACCACCATTTAATCCTAACGTGGTAGGTGCTGTTTTAGTTCCTAGTTGCTAAATTTCTGCCTGTGCAGGCTCCTCTATTTGGAAAGAATGTACATGTATCAGAGCAGATGGGAACCTCTTAGTGCTGACTGCACTTTGGAGCAGTGACACTTCTGAGCAGTGATACTGTCTTTTTGACTTAAAACTCACTTGGACATGTCACTGTTTCCTCTGCTTTTTCCCATCGAAGGACTCAGTTTTTTATGGTGTCTGAAGACCAAAGAATTTACAGCCTCATTTAAATAAGACTTTTCAAATTATGAAGACTATTTTATAAGCCTTAGTTGCAGCCCTATTCCTGTTCGTCTTGCTAGTTGGTTTACATCTGCTTGATGAAACTTCTGCTGTCTTGTTTCTTCTCTCTGTAACTGAATGTTAACTGTGCTTTAGTTCATAGGTCCCTTACTGCAAAGGTGACTTATTGTAGTTACTGTTGTTGCTTTTTATATTATAGTAGTTGTTATATAGTATTATTATATAGTTTTATATTATTCATGGAAAAGGGAGAAAGATAACTCTGTATGTGGTTATATGGTTTTTATTTCAGTTTTTTTCTCTAACAGTCAATTGAGAAAGAAATATTTCTTATAATTGCATCATAAGTGTTGTGTTTTCTTGGCCTGATCTCCAGCCCAGAAAAAACAAGCTTTTAATAACTGCTTTCAGGGATGCTGTGGTGGGTTTCCTTAGGCTTTATATACTTAAATAGGAAAGAATAGTACAATTTTTAAAATACAGAATTAATATGACAAATGATCTTTTGTTTTCTAGGTTGGCCCGGATGATATTGGGAATTTCGATGCGGTGTTTACAGAAGAAATGGTCCCATACTCAGTTTGCATCTCTTCTGATTACAGCATTGTTAATGCCAGTGTCCTAGAGGCAGATGATGCATTTGTTGGGTTTTCTTACGCACCACCTTCTGAAGATATGTTTTCCTAGGAAGTTAGAAGCCAACAGTGTTTTGGAAGTCTTGGGATGAACTCAAACATTGAACACATTCCAAATTAGTGTAACTAGTGCCTCATTTTGTATATAGGTTTGTAACCTATGAACAAACATTCTCTGCTGTATAGGAGGAATTTGGGCATTTTGGATGGCTTTCTTTGGGATTTGAACTGTTTATTTCCTGCTGCAGAAAATATTTTTTAAAGAACATTAAGTAACATTCTCTACATTAACGTATTTTTTAAGCAAAAACACTGACTGTTCTCATCAGTCCCTTCAGGTTTACATTCGTACATATCTAAGATAAGGCCGGCACAAGCAGCAGCGTTATTTAGTAAATTTATAAATGCCTTTGTACCTATTTACAGTGACTCTGTGCTTGAATTGTAACTATGCAAATTATCTTTTGTATATTCCTGGTTTAAAAAAGTTAAATGTTTTTTTCCCTGTTATATTGGTTTGAGCTTTGTTAACCTGTCAGCACTTAAATGAAGATTTAATTTAAGACTGAGATGCTTGGAGGATTTACGTAGAAGGAAAAATCGGGTATGTAAAACTAGATTGTCACTTTTGTGTATGCTGGAGTACCTGCATCTGTGAACTGGATTATTTGAAGTATGCAGGATTACTCAAAGCAAGAATGGAACAAATTAACTATCCATTTGGTAACCTTACTGATCACGAGTTCTACCTTTTTTCCTCCCTGAGATAAATGTGTCTGTATTTCAACTGCATTAAAAATATTTTTGGTTAAAACTCTGCTTTTCCAAAGATATAATATGCAATAATCAGTGCTACTTTGAAAGGCTGTTTTACTTTAACCTTCCTGTGGTGGATGGTGAGGGGATCACACCAAACATTGAGTACTTTTCTCACTGATTTGTATTTGGAAACACTAATATGTTCCAAATCTCTTGTATTTCAACACGCATAGCTACTTGTCTTTGTGTCCCATTTTTAAATCTTCACTTGCTATTTGGAAAAAAAAAAAAAGTAAATTGTGTTGATAATTTTAGAAATGTGAAAAGTTATTGTATTCCTCATAACATGCACATATATGGAGAAACTGATCATTCTGATCGACTTCTGTGTAAGGAAAACTTCTAACAATGCAAAAACTGCAGTTAGTGCATAAAAGCTTATCATGGTAGGTAGTAGTATTATTATGTATATCACCTGTAAATAACAACTTATTTTTGTCTGTTCCTTCTTAATTGTTCTGTGGTGTATTTGGTTTTTTGTTCTGGTTTGGTTTTGTTTTGTTTTGTTATTCATAAATACATTCAATTGAAAGCTTTGGTTTGAGGGAAGTCTGATAGGACACAGATGAGCAGCCAGAGTCCTGAGGGAACTGGCTGATGTAGTCACTGAGCCACTCTCAATGATATGTGAGAAGTCATGGTGGTCAGGTGAAGTCCTTGGTGACTGGATAAAGAAAAGGAAAGTAGCATTGCCTTCTTAAGGGTAAAAAGGATGACCCAGGGAACTATCAACCTGTCAGTAAAATTGTAGTTATTCTTGAAAGTAATGATGTCAGCAGCAAAGCATTAGACAAGTGGAAGCTAAACCAGGATTGTTTGCTTTTTTTCATTCTTTCACATAATGCCTAAGTAATGCTGAGTAGTTGCTGTGTGAGGTGTGGGATGGAGTCGCTGGGTAAAGCAAGTAGAAATTCCCATTGGGATGGAAAGAAGAAAGGAAATGTGTCATTTGTGGGAGGGGACTGGTTGCTCTGTGCTCATTTCCTATCCTTTCACACTGAAGTTTTGAGAAGTTTGGAAACAGCTACACAGCTGTTCAGGACAGCCAGTGACTTACATGAATTGCAGTTATAATCATTTGGCAGCAAAGTGTGTCTTTCTGATGGGCTGGAAGGCAGAAATTGTTGCAGTATGGTATATACTGCACCCCTTCATTTTTTTATCCTCTCTTTCAGATATGTCTGTAACTAGCTTCCTGACTACGGATGGGCTCTCCTATCCTCTCTCCTCTCTCCCCTCTTTATTGGGTTTCTTTCTTATGGCTTTTTAGTGTAAATGTGTTCCTTTTCACTCAAAATACTCTGTTCACGTTATTCCTTCCATTCTCTTCCATGCTGTGAAGTGCCCCAGGCAGATCAGGACTGCCAAAGGCAGAGCAACAGACTGTGTCCCACTTCAAGCAACAAACTCTTCCATACTGCTATAGATCAGTGCTCTCGTTCTCTATCTCTTTGCATTTCATGGCGATACTTCTCATAGTAAGATGTTGAGTGGGGCGGGCCCTTCACAGGACCCTGAGTTGAGAAGTAAAATCTCGAATGGCGGTAAATCCGAGGCAGGAGAGCCTACGTGGGAACGGCGCTGGTGTTCCCTTCCTGTTGGGGCAGGTAGTTGAGAAGGAGAGGTGCCATCTGTGACTGACGGAGGGGCGTTAGCACTGACCGCGCGGGGCCGCGTTTCCCCTCACGAAGCCGCGGGGTTCCTGAGGAGCCGCCCGGTGCTGCCACCGAACTGCCCGAGCCCGCCAGCGGGCGGCGAAGGCGGCAAAGGCTTTGGGGTGTGGCGAAGGGAAACCACGGGCTGAAAGGAGGAGGGGTGGTGGTGATGAAGAGGCAGCTGGGAGCGGTGGAGGTGGGGTTGGGCGCGGTGCCGTGAGGCAGCGGAGTGCGGCTGTGGTGGGAGAGGCTGCGCTTGGCTGTGTGAAACGCAGGGAGCGGCAGCGTGTGGAGAACACCGTGAGCCGTGGCGGAGGCTGTCCTCGCCGTGCTTCGTGTCTCCGCTTTGTGGCCACAGAGCACGATGCAGTGATCTCAGGGCGGTGGGGGAAAGGAGAGGCCATGGTTTCAGCTGGATTTTAATTTCTTCTTGTAAAAGATTTGAAGGGATGGAACGGTAGTTGCATGGGATTAATCCTAAAGAAACTGAAAAATAAATCCTAATGTTAGTTCTCCTTCAATTTGTGCATAAAATGTGACACTTCAGAACGCATCTACCAGCCCGCCCACAGCATACAACTGACAAGAAGTTCTCTGCTGCTGCCATACAGGTGCACCTCAGGCACCCTGTTCTCTCCCAGGTCTGTCTGTCCTCCAAATCAACTTCTGTGACCTCCTGCCATGAATCGTTCATAAATGAAGAGCTTTACTTTCTCTTCAGCCTCTTAATGCTGTTTTGTCCCATGCCAGGTAGCTACATCTGTGTTTGAAGGTTTACGTGGTGTTTCATATTGGTTACCTACAGAAAAGACAGATGATAATTCATAAAGTCAAGTCTGTGTGACCATTAAAAGATCATAGAATCAAAGAATCCTTAGAGTTGGAAAGGGACTTCAAAGGTCATCCAGTCCAGCTCCCTTGCAGTGTACAGGGACATCAGATCTGTGTATACAAAACGCCACGTTTTGGCCTTAGTAGTTCTCCCTCTAAATTCATAAGAGAAGTTCTAAGATTTACTCTGAAAATGCTCTGAAAATATGTGAACAATAAAAACAACACTGAAGAGTATGGTCACCTTTTAGACCAACTCTGTGGTCTTGAAAGTTTTATCTACAGGAATAAGAATTGATCACCTGTGTATACTGATGTTTGCAAGATCTGCACCTTGAATGGATGCTACAGGAGGTGACAGCAAACTAGGAAAGTGTAATTTAAGAAATAAATTATTCCTCAGTTTCATGTTTTCAACAACTGCCTTCATAGCTCTCTCTCCATATATATATATATATATATGTCTTACTTTAGTTCCAATGACTCAGGGGAGGTAAGGAGAGGAGGAGCTAAATGCTGCCTTTAATTTGATGGGTCAGGGATTGGGTGGTGCAGTAATTCAGTAATAAGAGGAATAGTAGAGCATTTTAGGAATTTAACTTTATTGTTATTGTAGCATGGCCAATTCTGAACTAATTCTTTCCAGCTTACTCCAGAATTCTCATTAAGAGTCCAAAGATCTTTTTGGAAGATGCACAAAGAAATACAGAAAATGAAGGAAATTATCCTTGTTTACCTTGACAGAAGTGGTGGCCTTGAGAAATTTGTGCACGATTGCAAAAAATACAATGGTATTGCTCACTCAGATATTTTGTTAACATTGGTAAGTATTGTTAAGCAAACCTCTGTTATTTTTAAGACCATTTTTCTCCTGCAGACTCAAAACAAAGTTATGCTGTATATCGTTTCGTTATTTCAATAAACCCTTCTGATGTTGCTGAATTGGATGCAACTCTTGGGAACTACATTCTTCATAAGCCCATGAAAGCTGCAGAGATTTTTCAGTCAGTAAGTTTATAGTTCTGGTCAGGGCTGACAAAAACAATCCTTTTCCAATTTGACTAGATTTTCCTTTCTAAAGTGAAGTTATTTTTCAATTACAGGTATGTTTCATAGCTATTAAGACATTATCATTAATTGAACAATTACAGACGGAGGCCCAAGTGAGTCTACATTGTTTCCCCAGTTAGATCTTAAATCTTTTGAGTCTGGTGAGGTATTAGCAAAGATTATTTTTTGTATTACTTTTTCAGCTTTTATTTTCCCTTTGGTTGTATTATCCTTTGTACTTAGAATAAGTGCAAGTCTCACCTCAACATATTGCAAGAATCCTGGCATAACTGATTGAATTGTTTTTCCACTTGATACGTTTCTGACTTTTTTTCTCCTAAAAGCTATTTATACACCATGTTGCATTTCTTCATGTAAGTACATTGAATTTATAAACAGCATTTTGAAATGAAAATATATTGATTAAGTATATTAATGTCACCGTGTCTCTTGTTAGATAAGCATACTGCTGAAACCAACACATTTGCCACCATTACCGAGTTATGTTCTCAGTCTTTCTGCATTTCCATTTAATTACACATCTAAGAGATTTTATATGTCTGAAGGAATAGTGATTGCAATGGGAACTGTCACAAAATACACCCAAGGAGCAAGATTTCTTTGCACTGGGGAAACCTGTCCATTCTCTGAAGGTAATAGTAGAAGAAATTAATACTATTTCATAGAACTGTAGTATAACCAAGGTTGGAAAAGACTTCCAAGATCATCCAGTCCAACCATCCACCTGCCACCAATATTTCCCCACTCAGCCGCATCCCTCAGTTCAACATCTAAATGTTTCTTGAACACCTCCAGGGACGGTGACTCCACCACCTCCCTGGGCAGCCCGTTCAGTGTCTGAAGAGCTCTTTAATAATTTAGATAATTTACCAGATTGAAAACCTATCGTGAGAGTCATTTTCCTATGTAGTCTTTATGAGCGCATGTCTTTGTGAAGGCGCTTATATACTGAATGTATCTGTCCGGTGTCATTCCCGCACGACACAGAATAGGGGCACTCCGCCGCTGGGAGTCAGGCCCTGCAGTCGTGGTGAGGAATGTGCGATGGGGGCACGGCGCCATCTGGCGGCCAATGTGCGAGAAACACTCTTGTGAATTCGGAATTTCTCTGCCCAGTTTTTAGTTTTAGCACTTCTTTGCTTAATGTGAAATGCAGAATGAAGGCCGTGCTCTCATTGTAAATGTTCACTAAACTTTTTTTCTTTTTTTTTTCTTTTTCAGGGTTTAGGTACATAAGGGTGCATCTGCCCGGAGCTACAGAATCTGCCACAGTGAGGAATGACTTTGTGTGCAGTTTGTGTTCTTCACCACTGCAGGAAGATATGAAATTCAGAGTACTTGGTGGTAGGAACTGCGTAGTTTTATTTCTAGGTCTGTTATTCCCCTACTTCTGATACATAGTACATAAACAAAAATGGCTGTGAGGATAACAGCCCCAAAAGATAGAAGTCATCCTAGAACGGGTTGGGTTGAAAGGGACCTTTAAGATCATGTAATTCCAAACCCCGTTTTAGGCAGGGACCTCCCTCTAGACCAGGTTGCTCAAAACCCCATCCAACCTGGCCTCCTAGAGGGAAGAGAAAGAAAAAAAAGAGAAAAAAGCATAGTACTTGGTTTTCAGGACAACTAACCTTTTCCTTGCCTTTATTCTGAAAGATAAACAGATAGTTGAAATGATTGATGCCAAAGTTCTTCATGCTTTAAAAGGATATTCCGACCATAAATCGCATTTTAGGATTCAGACATTCACAGTTTTCTTGAGAGGTATGCTGAGTTTCAATTCTAAAATTTGCTAAAAATACTTTAGAAATGAATTGTAACAATGACCTGCATTTTTCTTACAGGTTCATTTCTTTGGATAAACTGATGAAAGTCATGATAATTTATATTGAGTTTGTTTCTCTAAAATAATTGGGCGGGGGGAGGGGTTGGGTAGTCACCTGCCTAATGCAGGCACAAATGATTGCAGAGAATAATATATAGCCAAACTGTGGTGTTCACTTCTATGTCTTCATTTAAGCAAGATCCACTGGCCAGCTCTGCTGCATTACGTTCTAGTTGAACCTTGTTTTTTCCTCCTTTCTACTTCCTTTTGTCCTGCTGTTTTGCACCCATTTCATGTGCTTTTGACATCCTTCCTCAATCTAGCTGGTTTCCGGATTCAGTCAGGATTTTTGGCTTCTACTACCACTTCTTTCCACTGGAAACATTAAATGATTTCTAATGTGGATATCCAACTAAATCGCAATTCATCATCATATTTCCAATAATTTTATCTAAACCAAAAAACACTACGCTTTCTGATATCCAGCGTCTATGGAATCATATAGCTCATTTCTTGAAAACTGACAGTAGCTCCAAGATCATGAGATACAACGGCAGCACTGCATATATTGTTATGTTGGTGTGATGCTGTCAATTGTGCACACACTGAAATTCCCCTGGCTTCAGTGACCAGAGCAGTTCGACTGGATCTTATACAGGCTGAGATTCACACTTGGTTGGACACAACTCTCACTTCTGAAAACTAAACATGACTTCTGAATAAAGCACACAGAACTACAGAGCTTCCCAAAGCTGTGTGTGTATCTTTTTGAAATCCTTGTAACTATGGTCACTTTTTTTGTGTTTGTTTGTTTTTTCTGTCATGTTTATAGGACAGTAACTGATAATGGTGGAACCACAAGCTTTGGAATATACTTGCAAACAACTGTCCATTTTCTTTTCAATGCAGAGCTAAGTGAATCATTCATTTTCTTTATCAGGAATTTACTGCTCACCCACTATGCCTTCCTTACTTTTTGCACTACTTATTTTGAATGGTGTGCTTCATTTGATCCTACTCCACAATGGTAAACCTGGCATCCAACTGTTGTTTTCAGCAACTGAGTGTGAAAAATGAAAACAGTTTAGAAAAGCTGACTGTGTCTTTAACAGGTTGGTTTTTTTTATTAGCTGAAACATCTTCAGGTCTCCCCCACGTTTTGTTTTTCATTTCCAGATGAACTGGCCAATAGAATGACAATAGGAAACCACTACAAGATTATAGGAATTCCAGCTTGTGTACAAAATGGCCCACAAGCTACAGTGTGTATAGAAGTCAGTAGCGTACAGCTCTGTAAACCAAATGGTAAGGAAGTTCCATTTAGAATTGACTTAAAATTTTGAAAAATATTTTTTGTGCAAAATCTTGAGAACTTCTTATTATCTAGAAGCCTGGATTGCAAAACCACTGTGGGACCTTCCTCTTACAGTCTGAAATGGGTTCAGTCAGTCAGCTGAGAACATCTCTTCCCCACTTCTCTTTCCATGCACTGGGAAGTGACATTATTATTTACTGCAGGTCTTCAGCTTCCCTTTTCCAACTTCCCTTGTCACTTGTAAGCTACTTGGGAATCATACGTGAAACTGACCCGATATTTTATTTTCTTATTCCTCTCTTATCACACTGGTTTTAGTAGATCATGTCTGCAGACCTTAGAGTAGTAAAATTAATAGCTGTCAGCTGTTTACATTCTGAATTTGTGTTTAATGCATAAATATCTTAGTTCTTTGTAAGCTTTTGTATAAAGACTCGAATGGCAATATATTTGAGTGTATCTGCACGGCTCTGTTAAGTGCTTGTTAATCTCTATTTTGTTTTACTTAGGCCCTTCTTTCATCGGTGAAAATTTTAAGTATCTACTCACACTGACCTCAAGTTCATGCTGGAGATTTACAGCCACGCTTGCCAATATCTTTGCTTCTCAAGTTGTTCCACCAGGCACTTACAATACTCTTAAATTAGCAATATTACTGAGTCTAGTACAGACGTGTGAAATAGAAAATGCAGATTACCTCGATCTACTGATTGTGACAAGTGACACTCTAATAACTGATAGGTAAAGAGATTCCTTAACTCTTTTTATTTTTTTAAGATAATAGGATTGGTCCTACATGAAAAGCAAGAGATGAGGCTTAAAAGGAATGTAGGGGGTTCTGACTTGCTAAAAAATAACCATGAAACATCTCTATTTCAAGTGATGTATATAGGATTACTGCTAATAAATACCCCTACCAGTCTTATAATGATCTCAGTAAGCTTTTAAGACCGGCACTGTTTAGCAAAGGTCAAACTAAACCTTTTTCTAAAATCAAAACTAAGGTTGCCTCAAAAGCTGGTGATTGTGAAAGTGAAGTTCTCTGCTTTTCAAATCTTGTGTCACATTAAGCCTTTCCATCACTAGCTTCCCAGCTACCTTAATTTTCAGTTATGTCCTGGCTTGCCTGGGGCAGAGTTACTTCAGAGTTTACATGGTGCTATGCTATGCAAATAATATTGTTATCATTAACTGTCTAAGTAGACATTACCTACATATTGGTATCAGTGTAACAGTCAATTTACCAATACTTACTATTTTAATCAATGATTTTATGGCTTTTCTTAATATGAGAAGAAATCATGCTCTAACATCTTAAAATCATAAGTAAAATCATAAGGAGCCTTTGACTGTGGAACCAAGCAGTGTGTGACTGTGTGCCAAGGAATATAGTGCAGGGGAGTGAAAAAAAATTCAGCACTCTCCTTTCTCAAAAAGAACTGGGGATGGTAACCCAGATGGCTGCAGCCTAGAAGTTACCATCCTCCTCTTTTTTCCCCAGATGGCCAAGAGAATTATGAATCCTCTGCCTTCCTCTAGAACAGGAATAGGCATTAATGGTATGGGGTTACGTTAGGAGACTTCTTTGATTTCCTAGGTATTACTTCTGTTACAAGCCATGATTTGCCTCATGTTAAAACCATCAGAAATACAGTCCTCCTGGGGTTTGGATTTCTGCATTTGTATTGAAGTGTACTTTCCACATTTAGTCTTGACAGTGGTTTAAATTTGTTGTTGTTTATGGGTAGATCTTGATATACCTAACTATTACTACCCAGTGTGAAGAACAGTGTTAATTTAAAAAACTGAGCAATGTTTTGACAGCTTACGACTGACAATTATTTAATCCTCTAGGCTTCTGAATTACAGCCTATGTCTCCTGCCTCGTGGCATACGACACCCATCCTCTAGTGACATCTTTCCTTCTGTGTCCAAAGATAAACATGGAACTGGAAGTGCTAGTATTCAAGCTTGCAGTGCTCTGCTGGCTCAGGGTGGTATCTGTTACATAGGAGACTTATCTTCATACAAAAAGGATAAACTTGAACTCCTGCAATCTGGTAATTTCATATCTACTAACAAATGAGGGGACAAAATGAAACAAACATATAACACCAAAGCTAGGTCTGTTCCTCAGCTTATGGCCCTCAAATGCTTGGAAAATATCAGCTATTTTTAACAAGTCTGAAAGAAATGAGGTCAAAAATGGCAAAATCCTATAAGCTTTCATTTGCTGTACAGGCTCCACCACAGGGATCAATTTATTGGCAATTGCATTACTATTAGGTGGAATGAGAAGTGTATTCATCAGGCTCACAGGATTTGTGATCTAGCCTTTGAAGGATTTAGGCACTCAAACACTCAGTCCTCAAAACTGGTGGTATGAAAGTGCCAAAACTTAATCAAGACAAATTCAGTGAAATACAGTAATGACTCTTTTCAGCTAGTGTGCTTAGAACTAGAATTTATAGTTGAACTACATCAATCACATAACTGACGTATTTTGTCCTCTCCTAGTCCTAGAGAGCAGGATGACAACACTGTTCATTCCTGGGAAGAAGTATGGAGAAGAGGCTGACCAACAAGTGACTATTTCAGTTCAGACCAACTTCTGGTCTTATGTAGATGTGGGTTCTTCCCCAAGGAAACATACAGCAAGGGACAGCTTTTTAATTGGGCAGATGGTAAAGCAACTGACAATTATTTCTGGTTATTGTTATTTCAGCTTGGGAAATAATGAAAACAAGCTTGTATTTCTCAGAAAGCTACAGCTTAAGTGACTTTATATCAAGTATCTTCTAAAATGAGCTAGCTTTCCCCGAAGCAAATGCCATTTATTTTATTCACAATAGCTTTTGACAACAACTATGTAACACAATTACATTGCTTGAATTATAGATAACTCATTAGCTACTCTTGCACCATTCAGCATATGGATATTGAATATTACAGACTGAAAAAATTGCAGTGCTTCTAATAGTCAAAATCCAAAAATAATTCTTTTTCTTCTCCTTAGGACTTGAGTTTGATTCCACCTAATCTTTTAGATGTTTTTGGGCTGTTGATATACAATGAATTTCCTTCGAGTCAGCTGTCTTTTCCTGTAGTGCATCATGTCTTGCAAAAAGCCATTAATCCTGAAGCCATGCTGTACAGAGTCTCACAGCAGTTCAGAACACAGGATTATGAAGAGGTAGTAAATATTATCTAATCATTTAGCAATTTTGGAATCATACAGAATCATATCATACAACGGCCTGGGTTGAAAAGCACCACAGTGATCATCTAGTTTCAGTCCCCCTGCTATATGCAGGGTCGCCAACCACCAGACCAGGCTGCCCAGAGCCACATCCAGCCTGGCCTCGAATGCCTCCATGGATGGGGCATCCACAACCTCCTTGAGCAACCTGTTCCAGTGCGTCATCACCTCTGTGTGAAAAACTTCCTCCTAAATATCATACTGTTCCTGGAATCAGGTGGTTTCTGTCCTGATACTCTGAGAGATTACTTTAAAAAATTTACCTCTGCCCCCTGCCATATTCCCACCAGCACAAAGAGGATCATCAGGAGACTTCGCTTCAGTTCTCTGAGAATCGGCATAATAAATTCAGCATCACCTACCTTCTGAAAAGCATACTGGGTCAACATTTCTATGAGAACAGCCCTCTAATACTTGCTTTTAACAAGAATAATTTACAGTCAGTCATAAAACTTAGTGTGAAATACTACACCAGTTAGTACTGGACTAGTATTAGAGCTGGAGGCTGGAGGCCCTGGTTGAGGCAGGGGGTTGGAGCTTCATGATCCTTGAGGACCCTTCCATCCCAAGCCATTCTGTGATTCTATAAGAAGTTAGTCTTTCATTGTAAAGAAACTGTCAGTATTTCTAATACGATTAACTTGCTATAGGGAACCCGCTTTAGCAGGTTCATCTTCCTTCCAATCCCTGTAATTCTATAACAGGTAATTCAGCCCAGTATCTAAAATCTACTCTTACACACAGCTGAACAATAACAAGCTTTTTTTACAAAAATTGATGGTGAAATACACTGTTCTACCTCTATTATTATGCCAGTATGTTAAAAGGTGTGAAAAAATGTATATTATTTATTTTCCAGTTAAAGGTTTAAAATTTCTACCTTCTCTCTAGTTTATTTTGTTCGCAAAGAATCTTCATGTCCAACTGAGTTCTGAAGCAGAAAACCTCATTCAGGGCTACTATCTTGCAAGTCGTAGAGTGAGGAGAGATTCTTCACATGGATCAACATTATCAGCATCTGCACTAAAAATCCTGTATGTCCAATGCTCATAGCAACACATCTCAGTTTCCAATAGAAACTGCTAACCAGCTCAATTTATTAGTATTTATTTATTAGTAAAAATCTAGACATTGTTTAAGTTTGGATAAGTTCAAGCATAAAGAGTATCTTAACATTAATAAATACCATATTATAGGATTGGTTTTGAAAAATACACTATTTAAAGAACTTTCTTAGACTTAATGTTTCTTCAATCTTTTTTTTCATTAAAGCTGTCCAGAAAAATAAGAATAGAGTTTACATTTTCATAGTTTTCTCTTACATAAGGCTTTTTTTTTTTAAAGCAAGAAGTGCAGTGTTACCTCTTGATTTACAGAAGTGCTCCCAACAGAGAAATATGCAATGTCTTCATTTCTGCAATTTTTTCAACTATTTCTTATATGCTTACATTCATCTCTTAGGATTTCACTATCCAAAGCTCATACTAAACTAAGTTTGAGGAGGAAAGTCCTTGAGGAAGACGCACTGATTGCCATCCTGTTGTTTGAGTCATCTCTTACCCTAAAACATGGTAAGGCAGTCTTTAGTCTCAGGTATATTGTTTTCATGTTTTGTCAGTTTGAAAAAAGTTTATCTTAAGTCAACTGCAATAACAGAGGTACTTCATTTCAAGTGAAAGCTTCTGCTGTTGAGAGCTGAGATCAGAAGGAAGTCTTTCAGTTGACTTTCAAGTGGTGAGCCTCAGTGCTGTACATACAGAGGCCCCAAACAGCACCAAGCCTCTATCCTTATGATAGCACATTGAAGACATCACTCCTCTGCTGCTTTAGCATCAGTCCAGGTTAAACCAGACAGAATTCTTTCCCTAAAGAAATGTTTTCTTTATCGTGTCACATTTATTCACACACAAATTTGGCAGTGACAGAATCACAATGTAATACAGAAGCACTAACTTACAAAATGAATTACTAAGTAATCTACACAACAGCATATTTTTTTTCCTTTCCACTCCTTAAAAATACTGGCCAAAGGTTGCCAAGCCTCCTAAGATCTGAACTGATTTCTTCTTTGCTTAGGTAAGTCAGCATTGTGCATAGAACCAAATGCAGTATTTCCATTTGACCTCAGTGATGAAAGCAGCCTGCAACAGAGAGATATTTACCTACTGCAGTGCCACCATCAACTGCTCCAATTTATTAGTGCATATAGCCCAGGGACTTACATTAGCAGTAATGAAGAATGAACTCTGCTGTGAGTCTGAGGCTCCTACTTCAGCTTTCTGGGACTGCAGAGAAATAGACAACTGTTTTCAGTGCTATTTTGCAAAGAAATAAAGCATAGCGGATAGGATTTAATTGAAGTTTCCTGGCAACACTGAAGAAAGGCAGAAGTGATGTTTCTATTCTGGAAGGATACGGCTTCAGAATAAAGCCAGAACCTGAACTTCTATTCCCAGCTTCCACTATCATTTAACTGGATGAACAGAGACAAGTTTTAATAAGGTAACTAACATTTAAACCAAGAATGCAGAATATTGTATTTCATTTCAACTATGACCTGTACTTTTTGCTGTTTCTTCTTTTTAAATGCATTATCCAGCAAGGAATAGTTTAAATACACTACAAAGAACAGTACTGATGTAAGACAACTTTAGTTATTCGTGTACATGAATAACATGAATTTATAGTACTATAAATTTTAAGATTTATATCACCAAACTGCTTCTTGCTTTATGTCTCAGTTTTACATTATAGCACCATCATATCAGCACAGGATGCAGGTATGCTCCTGCAATCTGACATAAAGCTTAGATAAGGACACTGGAGACAGGAAAGCAAAAAGAATTATTGGTAGGCCCACCAGGGAGGAAGCAGCTCAAGGAGTGCCAGTCTAACTGCCTCATTGCAAAAATGAATGTAAAGACTGATACAGTGGATATGCTCCTCCAAATAAGGACTTTTCTTACTTTCTCCTCCTAGCAATGATGTAGTTGTAGGCACAACACTGGGCAAGTTTCACATCAGATGTCCACATTAAATGCAGCAGAACAATGTACAGACTTCTACTCAAAGATGGATAAACTGAACAAATACTGAGGGTCTGCTGTGACTTTTCTGCACAGGTCATGCAGCAAGATCATGGTGCTACCATTTACACAGCCTTAACAAAACACTACAGCCATCGGAAATATAAATCCAGGATTTTATTTATACAAACACTGCACTGAAAATGAGCAGAACAGTTTCCAACATTATTATAAACACTAATTTATGCAAGAACCCAAGTTTTCCTGTGTTTTAACCCTGTAATCAAATTTTGACTGCACTTAACTATTCATACCAAGTTCAACAGTGTCTGAAGGCTACTTCTCAGTCCACTCTCACTTGAACTTATTATTCACATTTTCATCTAAACTCTAACTCCATCTTACTCAACTTCTTCCTTTCAGCATGGTATTAAAAGTCACAGGACTTCACCCAGAGCACAAATCAAATCAAGCAGCGCTTCTGAGAAGCAGGAGGGCCAGCAAAGCATTTCCAAGTGCATTAGAAATCCATGTTTCACACTGTTCTCAGCCTGGAAAAAAAGCCAAAGCATTTTAAATTTAGTCACTTTTCTATAAGCTTAATCTCATATGAAATTATACAAAGTTACTAACTGTACTGGCATTTCAGATTCAAAGATACACATCAACAACCAGTCAGATGGGTAAACGGCAAAGATATCATCATTATGCCAGTACAGCTATTTTTGCAATAGAAATAATTCTGACAAGAATTCTGTTTAAGCCATATTAAGGAATACATATCCTTAGAAGAACAATATTTATCAAAAAGAGCTTAACATTTTACTCTTTCCTCTCCCCAGCTTTATCTATGTGATGCTTTAAGCAAAAATTTTAATTCTTGTAGAAAGATCACAAGTAAGAACTGCAAAGTCAGGCAGCAGTCTAAAAGCATCCTTAAGTAACAGGCTACATCTTCAGCCAGCGTAAGCTGGCACAACAGCATGCAGCAGCAGCAGATGTGGCTAGCACAGCTCTCCAGCCAGCTAACAGCTTACTGGAGCCTCAGCATTGTAGCATCACAGCAGAACAACAACTTTCTTTACCTTCTTAAAGGCCCATACTTCTGGAAATCAACAGTCTTCTGTTGGCTATACACAGCTTGAAGTCAGCGGAGAAAGTCATCTGATAACATCTTTGAAAGATTAGAATAAATCAAATCAGAAATAAAAGATTCTTCCAGTTTGATTTGCCACCTACTGATGAGCTGGCACATCAGATACAGTGTTACTCATCACAAAAATCAGTTGGGTAAACGGCAAAGAGTCATCATCACAATGCCAGCAGACAGGTTCCCACCCGCCCTAAGACTGGAGCTATTTTTCCCAGGTACCAAGTGCAAAGGGATTTATTAGGTTGGCCTCCAGAAATGTGCTTCTAGAAATCAAAGGAGAACGGTGTTTTCAACCATTAAGCACAGAACAAATTTGGTGCAGTCAGAAACAAGAGGAAAACTCTTTTAGGGTACAACAACATTGGTCTCTGCTGATGCATTCAAGTCTCAGGTGCCAAGTGTTGTTTTTTTTTTTTTTTCCCCCAGAGGTGAAGTTCACTGCCACTATTCTCTGTCCACTCTGACTATATTCTGACAGACTGATGTGGTTAAGTACCAGCAGCGATAGTGATTTGAGTACATGTTCTTTGCTTCAGCCTTTTACTTCCAGCTAACATCTGGTTAATCCTTCACAAAACTATTTATCCAGTTAAAAACTGAATTCTCCAGTGTTCTCAAGTCTCTCATTTCTGATTCCTTCATGATTCTTAAATTAATACTGTCACCCTACAACAAAACAGTTGCAAAGGCTTTATAACTGGTATAATACCCTTTAGAATTTTAGCCTCAGCTAGCTCTCTACTCTCACGGAGTTCAAGTTGAAAGAACAAAAGGCCAAATTTTAAGGGCTATGGTTGTTAATTTAAAAATGGATAAAGCCTCACCTTCCAATATTCATGGCAGTAGTATGTGTTAAGGCAAACTGAGCTGAGTAATAGACAAATTGTAAGTAAAAAGCTTTGTAGTAGGAAGTCAATAATTCAAAATGTATTAACTGGTCTGTGCTGAGGAATACTGTCTAGGACAGTTTAAGACTTAACCCTTCGTGCAGATGATTGTATACCTTGTTCCATCAATAAGACAATTTACAAGCCTTTAACAGCTGCAGAAGTTTGGATCTAGATTTCAGGAGATAGCTCTGGATGATTTCCTTACTGCTAAGAACAGTGAGAGATACTTTCTCCTGTCAGAATTCATGTGACATCTTCCTGCTTGCAAGCTAACAGCACAGAGCCTGAAGATTCCTGAAGAAACCAACTCATCTTCTAATTGCTTTTGTTGCCTAAAACGAGACAGAGAAGAAAAAAGGTTTTATTCTCCCAAGCATTCTACTATTGGGCCTCTAGCAAAACACAACAGCATTTCCCTGGGGAAAGCAAGCCAGTAAAAAAAATATCAAATGAGAGTATTGTTGGCTTTACCATGACCTGGGGAGTAAAGCAGAGGGCATCTGTCAAAATTAAGGTTAAAAAGATTATGTTCCACCAACAGAAGAGTTCCAGAATGAAGAATGACTGACTGTAGGATTAGGCTGCTCCTAATGAACAACCACCACCAGGGAGAGGAGCATCCCAGCCCAGCACAGTAAATAAGGCAGCCTCTAAGCCCTTTGTGGGCTGTGCCCTGCAGCACTGACTGATGGGTTTCCCTACAAGCTGAACTCGAGGTCAGCCCCTGTGCTATGGCCCTGGCAGAGCACTCCCATTGACACACCTGGGACCGCCCCGACCCTTTGGGATCCGTGCCTGCTGTGCACAAAGGACACGCTCGGGGTCACAGTGCAGCACCAGCCAAACTGGGGAAGAACGGTAATTTATCTTCACAATGAGGACATGCACTTGCTAATCAAAATGGCTTATCAGCAAAACCAAGTCTCTTCAGGTGCCTCATCTGTCACTACTTCAGAGGCCTGATGAGCAGCCCGTGAGGTCAGTACCCCAATTAGATCCACTGTAAGCTCACAGGTCACACTGCACTGCCAGAATCCTCCCCTGGCCAGCAGGCATCAGCCTGCGCTGCACCGCCCAGCACCGAGGCGAGGCCGCCGACAGCCATCAGCCGCCTCTGGTGAGCAAAGCAAAGGCTGATAACACCGCTCATCCCTCAAGTGATGCTTTAAGTTTATTAAACGCAGCCAGCAATTAATTAATATTTAATATTATTTAATTATATATATTAATATAGTATTAAATAATTAATAAATTTCAGTTTAGAGATCGGATTCATTTAACTGCCAGGACTGCACTCCCCAAATTAACCTGCTGGCGACATAATGCCTTAAAGAAAAAAACAAACAAAAAAAAACTAGAAACAACTCTCTTACTTAAAGCATCAAGCGCTGAGACTGACGTGGAGCTGCAAGGCCACAGCCCTCTGCAACCACCCGGGACCGGCGCCGTACCCCGTGGCCGCCGCACAGCACGGGGCCAGCCGGCAGCCCGCCCTCAGGAGCGGCGCGCCCCCAAGCCTCACGGAACTGAGAGCGGCTCCTCCGGCGCAGCCGCTGCAGCACCACCGACCCACGCCCCGCACAACCAGGCCCGTCCGTAAAGCCCATCGCTGCCGCCGCTCTGGAGGACGCGGCTCCGCACGGCGCCGCCTCGGGAAAGGGGGAGCTGGCCGCGTGCTAGCCTTAAATAGAGCGCGCGCCGCGGGGCGGGGCGGGAAAGGCGCGCGGGCCTGCGGGCACCTCCGGCGGAGCTGCGCACGCGCAAAGCGTGGCGTCGCTGTCGCGCTGTGGTGACGGTGAGTCGGTGGGAGGTCGGGGTGTGTGCAGGCGCGGCTCTGGGCTCTGGCGCGGGGGGTTGGAAGAGCGGGAGCGGCTCGCAGCGGCTGTGGCTTTGCGGGCGGAGGGCGTTCCGCGTCTCTGAGCGGAGCGGTGCTGAGGGGGAGCGCGCCGCGTCCTACAGCCTGTGACAAACCGCTCCCTTCGGTAGCAGCGTGCGGACGCAGCTTAGAGCCGTACGGTTGGCAGGGGCCTCTAAAGGTCAGTTCCCCCGTGCCGGCCGACCTCTGCCATCTCTGGGCCGGCCGTGCTGTTCACACGTGCGTCCCTGCTGTTTTACGTGCTTACTTCCCAGAGCCTCGCAGTGGCACGAAAGGAAGAAACCTTTGCAGACCGGTGGGTGGCATTTTGTGTTGCTTTGCTGTGGGCCTCCTGAATTCTGTCCCCTCCAGGTGTGTTATTTAGGAGCTGCTGCGCCAGGTAACAGCACGCAGCGCAAACACGTCGTGTTTTCTCCTCCTAGTGGTGACTCACCGGCATGTTATTACCTGCCCGCAGTGCAGGCTGAGGTTTGGCACTGCCTTCTGGCTGTAATTTCACCACTCCTTTTTGCCCTGACCCGATGCCATTCATATAGGTTTTAGTGAGGTGTGAACCCCGTGTGACTTCTCCGTGCTTCTGCCATCCTACTTGGCGTTTTCTCAGCCTAAATCTTCATCTGCATTTTATGCCCTCATCTCGTGCGTTATTTTAAGACTTAAGTTGTGAGGAAGTCCTCAGAACAGTTATTGTAAATGACCTCCTAAAATTAAACAGCCAAAATTACCCCATTCCTCTAATAACACTGAAACAGCTCCGTTATTATCAGTAACTGTTCACCCTATGCAATTAGGAACAGAAGTGATGCAGATTTTGCAGCTCAATAAAAATATAACGTCCAGTGAATAATATTTAATGTTTACCTTGACAATAACAATATATGACAAGTACGGTGTTTCACAGAACAGATACATTAGATGGTATTGGTGCATTTAGTTTCAATGTTTCTTGCCTAAATATAGGAAATAATGTAGTGAATCATGTGCTGTGAACAAGCCAGCTCTCAGGGCTCATTCATCTGAAGCCCCAGATGAGAGGAGCGTATCTTGATGTAATAATTCTGGGGTAACACTTAACAGACATTTCACATGCAACAAGGCTATAGATCAATACAAGCAATACTTAATTAATGGAACTACATTTAATCTATAGAGCAGTCTGTGTTTGTTGTATGCGTGTAGGATAAGTTTCAGCACATCTTTACTTAAAGTGAATGTGCACCTCAGTTTTCAAAGAGCTCCATGCATTTATGACTACCTGAAGGATGAAGGCATGACCTGACTGCTGTCTGTGGGCTTTCTGCTATTGACTTCACACCATGAGGAAAGGGCACGTGTTATTTTGATGGCTATTTGCAGACTTGTTTGCCATTTGCTTTTCTTCAGAGCTTGTACTGCACTGCACTTAGCCAGTATGCATTTCCCTGTCTCTTTTTCCCATCCTGTACCTATCAGCTTCCTGTGCAGAGATGGATGAGAACAGCTGTCATTAGCAGTCTTGAGCCTGTAGCTATGCTGTCCATCAGTGCTGACAGCAGCTGCCTTCTCCTGTTGCCCTGGTTCAGATACCAGCAGTATCCTCAGTGATGGAAGCCAATGATAAGTCACATTAAGTTAGTGAGGTATTAGAGATCTTTAAGAACCAATTCCTTCTGATCCACAAACAGTATTTCAGGAATTACGGCTTGTTGATATGATATTTTTTTAAAATTTAAATATATATATGGTGTAATAAATAACTTTTTCTTTTTTTTAAATGAAAAGGGAGACTAGTGTTGAGAATTTGTTGATGTTTCTCCTTGGTTTGCGCTTTCTCCTTGTGCTGAGTGATTCAAAAACTGTCCTGTCGCTCCAATGTATAACCTGGATCGCATTGGCCATTTCTGCAAGACAAGAACAAGCACTGTGCTGAAACACCTGGAGTCTGAATGCAGCTCTGAGTGACAAAAGCAAAGCTTTATGTGGTGACAGAATCATGATAGAATAGGAAACTGACAGTACTGCCAAAAAGGTTGTGTTTTGTCACTTACTGCAGGATCTGTGCAACGGAACTGTAGCATGGATATCTTCTTTGGGAATAAATTGTGAGATACAGTTCCTAAAAATTCTCATGACCCAACAAACAATTGTAACTCACAGTGCTGAGGTGTCTCACCACAATTTGCATTGCAGCTGCTCTGCCACTAAAACAAAGCAAACCATTCCCTTGATGCTGGAAGGGACACTGCCAGGGTGCCCCAGTGTTGACTCTGCATGCAGCCCCCGCATGCACACCCAGCTGTGCCAGCCTGCCTGCTCTGATGGGGAGGGTTTTTCTTGCAGCATGGAGTCGCCATGCTGTGGGTGTTACTTCAGCTGTATGCCTTGTTGTGGGAAGGGACGAGCTCAGCTTGAGCGTGGTAAGCTGAGTTGGTTGTTACAATTGGATGCAACGTGCTGTATTTTCAGGCACCCTTTTGATGCAGAAATACCTGAAAAAGCCAGCCTGGTCTTCCAAGTAATACCATTCTTTTAAAAATTAAGACACTCGGGGGAACAGGCTGGCACCTTTCCTCTAAGCAACAAAGGTAGCTCTAAAACTGGAAGGGGCCTGTCAAAGCATTAGCACTGCAATTAAATTTCAGCCCTTCTATTTAAAGACGTAAAGAGGCAGAATGTTCTCTCTTGGAAAGACCCAAAGATCTCATTTGGTATTTTTATTGCAAGCCTGATGTTATGAATTCATCTCTATTAAGGCATCTGAGACATTACCTAACTTGAAGTAATTAACCCTGCTTCCTGGTCAGCGTACACACAACAGCACCTGAACGTTTTAGTTTCCACATTATTTGTATTTACTGTGCTTGACACAGGAGTGTTGTTACAGCCCTTATCTGCACTGCTCTTCTCATATCCTGCACTCAGATTTTTTGAAGCATTTACTGTGATTTCCCTGGGACACTTCTGTTCTAGTTCCAACTAAAGCATTAATTTACTACCCAAAATATCAGAAAGTTTGGTTAGATTGATAGGATCTCTGGCAAAGCTGCAGGTAAATGAAACGTAAATAGGATTATCAAAAATAACTGCTGAATGAATCAACTGTTGCTGTATTCCAGTAGCCTGGGAAATGTGCAGCTGGATCGTTTAACTGCTTTAATGGCTATTTTTTCTGCCAGCAGTAGTTGGCAGCTGTTGAGTAGTGCTGTGAGACCTGTGTCCCCTCACCCTGGCCAAGCGAGCTAACCGAAGCTAGTGAGAGCTTATTTTGAAACACATCACAGTGTTTATTTTTTTTGCTTAAATTATAGCCATGTTCTGATTTATGTAAAGGTTTTGCTTTCCTAATGAGCCTGCTAATCATCCGAATGGGCTGGGAAGCCTACGTTCACATCGCGCTTTTTACCATGACCAAGAGTGTGAACAAGGAGGTCTCTGTAACTCAGTCACTTTAGAGGAATTAGAGATTACTTCACAAATTAATCATAATTAAATCATTCTGAATTCATCAGCCCCTTAATAGAAATCCAGCAGTGCCCTAATTCACTCCCTTAGATTGGAGCCAAAGAAAACACATCGCAGCATTTCAGCATCACATGTGTTTGGAAACAGCTCCCATCCCCAGGTACTCACAGAATCACAGAATCACAGAATCGTAGGGGTTGGAAGGGACCTCCAGAGATCATCGAGTCCAACCCCCCTGCCAAAGCAGGATCCCTACACCAGGTCGCACAGGTAGGCGTCCAGGCGGGTCTTGAATATCTCCAGAGAAGGAGACTCCACAACCTCCCTGGGCAGCCTGTTCCAGTGCTCCGTCACCCTCACCGTAAAGAAGTTCTTGCGCACATTGGTGCGGAACTTCCTACGCTCCAGCTTCTGGCCATTTCCCCTTGTCCTGTCTCCGCACACTGCTGAAAAGAGTCTGGCCTCGCCACTTTGCCCCCCACACCTTAGATATTTATAGACCTGGATCAGGTCCCCTCTCAGTCTTCTCTTCTCAAGGCTAAACAGACCCAGCTCACTTAGCCTTTCCTCATAGGGGAGATGCTCCAGGCCCTTCACCATCTTTGTGGCTCTCCGCTGGACTCTTTCCAAGAGATCCCTGTCTTTTTTGTACTGGGGAGCCCAGAACTGGACACAGTACTCCAGATGAGGCCTTACCAGGGCAGAGTAGAGGGGGAGGATAACCTCCCTCGACCTGCTGGCCACGCTCCTTTTAATGCACCCCAGAATACCATTGGCCTTTTTGGCCACAAGGGCACACTGCTGGCTCATGGCCAACCTGTCGTCCACCAGGACACCCAGGTCCCTCTCCAAACAGTTCCCCTAACAGCAGTTCCCCTTTCATGTCCTCTGCATCTCCAGGACCGGTTTTGATGAAGGCAGGAGAAACAGCAGCATGTACCAACTATGTGAAATAAATGCATCAGAAAAGCACTTTCACAGGAGGAATTAACACATGGCCAGTAATTAATGTCTTATTTCTTATCTTGGCTGCCTCAGCAGGAGAAACACTGCAGACCTGCAGACATTGCCAAGCACTGCTGCAGCTGGGATGGCTGTGGAGCATTTCACATCTTAGTGGTTCCCCCATAGGTTCTGGTGGGTTTGGTGTGGGTCTGCCAGGCTTTCCATGGACACTGAGCAGATACTGGCATTTCCCTTCTAAGGATGGAGTCCCCTGCACTTGGACTTTAGCTGTATCAGATATTTTTGTGAAAAGTCCCTGAAGGAAGAGAAACGTCAGCAACTCCAGGTATTTCCACCAGGCCTGCAGCACCCAGCTGCATGGTTATATGGCTCTGGCAGACTCAGCTAAAGCAGTCTTTCTATGCACGCGTTCTAGCAAGGTAAATCAGCCTGCAATTGCCAGTTTTGTCTGAATATTTTAAAGACCAGTTAGCTGTCCTACCTTGACAGGATGGAGGTACCCATCTCCTCGGAGGGCTCCCAGTGCCTCTCCTGGAGACTCCTCCTCATCCTGGAGGCTGCGCGTGAGGTGTGCGATGTAGGTGGTGGCCAGGAGGAGCACGTCCAGCTTGGAGAGCTTGGTGTCGGGCGGCACGGAGGGCAGAGTCTTCTGCAGCTCCAGGAAGGCATGGCGCAGGGTCTGCACCCGGCTGCGCTCCCGTGCGGCGTTGGCGGCTGCGGGTCGCCCTGGGCCCGGCCCGGCCCGCTGCCCGACTGCGGGGGGTAGGCAGGAGCTGCTGCCAGCAGCTGGAGGTGATGGTGACTCGGGCTCTGGGCTCAGGGTCTCCTCGCGGGTCTCAGGTAAATGCCTACAGTCCATGGGGGGCTTCCCTGGTAGGGAGGGGCCTGTAAGTGATAAGAGTGTCTGTGAGGCTGGCAGCCGTGGCTGAGGGCTCATGGTGGTGCGTGAACCTCGGTGCCAGGCCAGAGCCCCCCAGGCTCCTCATCACTCCTCAGCTCATGCCCCATGGCCAGGAGTCACTGTGGGACCAGGAGACTGTGGGGTGCAAGCAGCTCTCAGGCTGCCGGCACGGCCCCTGCTGGGTACAAACTACCAGTCTGCAACCTCAGCTTGAAAATCAACACAGGTTGTGGGCATGCACCAAAAAAACTTATTAAGTGAACGTAGTATTTTCACCACCCAGAGAAGGAGATGATAAAGCATGGAGTCACATCGTCTCCTGACTGCTGAAATGGATGCCTTCTAGAAGCAACTCCTATCAGAAATGCAAATCCTGCCAGCTCTGGGAAAAGCAAGGCTGTTGCATAAGGGTGTGAGTGACTTTTGGGCTCACTGTTCATAAACCAGCTGGTTTGCTGCCACACGCAGGTACAGAATCAGAACTTTTTGGGTGGTGCTGCGTGGAGCCAAGAGTTGGATGCAACAGTCCTTATGGGTCCCTTCCAACTCAGTATATCCTGTCATTTTACAGTTCTATCTTACACCCTTGAAAAGGTGATTTTTCTTTTGCCTGGTCTTACAGTGAGCACTCTAAGGATTACTTTTTGCTTTTCTGAGCAAACCTGGCTGACCACGCCAAGCAGTGCTGCCATGGTAGGCCCCATTTACAACCAAATAACATTAGAATACGTGTGATTTTTTCAAAAAAAAAAATCTATTAGTTAAGTTAAATGGGATGTGAGACTGCATATATTTTCTATTAACAGTCTCACAGATAATCAGGGCTCCATTTATTTCAGAAAGAAAAACGTTCTTTACAGATGTGAAGGGGAATAGAGCCACAGAACACAGCACCCATGTTTTGAAGGGGGAAGTTTGATGGCTCAAAAGATTGGGAACAGCGTCTGCATGTCCTTGTACACTCAGCATCATTCAACCCTTTCTGATCTTGTTCTATTGCTTTGGTTTTCTAACTTAAAATTTGGAATCCTGTAAGCTATATTTCAGCCTTTGGGGGGCAAAAGAATCACATGAAAACAACGGCAGAAACCTTCCTTTGAGCAAAGCTGCAATAACTGCTGAAAGGTCTTTCCCAGCTTCCAGAAAAGCCTGTGCCAAACTCCCTTTCCTTGAGCTCATTCAGTTCCCCAGCAATAAATACTCCATCGGTGTTCCCCAACGTGCGGCACTCCGCAGTGAGAGTCATACCTGAGGCAGTTGTTCTTATCCAAGCAGAGCTTCTGAGCTTCCTGGGCAGCTCCCGGCTTCCCTGCCTCGCAGAGCTCTGTGCTGCCTTGGGCCAGCAGCAAAGGCACCTTATTAAAGCAGTCACAGACAATGGGATTTTAAACATCTAAATAAAAATCAATACACTTGAATGACTGAAGGTCTACATTTACAGAAGTCAGACCTTGATGCTGCAAATTGTTTCAGCCCCACACTGAAGTCCCCAGAAGTCCAGTGCAACCACGGCTGACAACAGCAAAAAAAAAGCCACAGCAATGAGCCAAGCCAATGACTGTGATAATTATCATCTGTGTAAAGTAAAACTCATGGAAATCTACTTGAGCTTGTCCCAAATGACAGCAAAAAACAGTCCTTGAACTGTTTAATTTAAGATGTGATTAGGCAATAGCGTATTCTTTCCCGGTGTTTTCTCCCTCTGTTAAGCTGGCTTTGCATGCCTGTTAGTGACACAAACATCTCCGCTGCCACTGCTGAGTCAGTATGGGCACGAACAAAAGCAGAGCGTGGTATTGCTCCCAGCTTCATCAGTGGGATTTCTCATTTGCTATCCCGCTGAAATCCCACTGAATGAAATGAAGAAGTCTTCCCTGACACTGGATAAGCCTGCAGTGCACAAGGATACAGACAAACTGGGGTAGCAGTGCTGGTCGATCTGCTAAAACATGGTGGGCTTACGTGCAGTTGTCTTTGCAGTTGGAGTGTGACAAAGCAGAGTTATGCTGGCATTGTATATAACAAACAATACAGAAACACACGTACCTGAACACCTCATCTCCTCATGCGTCCCTTGGAAACTGGAGCGTGCGTTGCAGGAGCTTCACATCTGCAGGGGATGAAGTCCTGGGCCTGAGGAAAGTAAGCAACAGTTCACCTGCGGAAATCAGAGGTTTCATTCACTCCAACTTCAGTTCTGTGCTGTTGGCTTTCTATTGAGAGCACTGGCCTGGGACAATGTGACGTCCAGAAAACCAGGGTGTCTGTGGGGATGTACGTGCGTTTGTGCTCACATCCCATTCGCTGCAGTTTGCTACCCTGGCTTCTGTGGCCCCCAACAGCTCATGATCCAAAATGCCAGTGCCGAAAACTAAAGCAAATTAGTTCCCACATCATCTGGTTGCAGATTTTGCAAGCAGGAGGCTTGGGTTTAAGGCAGTGAAACATTCCCCTGAGCAGCGTGCCAGCACACACAGACACAGGGCAGGCAAAGGGACCTGGAGCCAGTGGCATGGCATCCCATCTCAGCATTAGTTCTGATGCACTTCTGCTGCATGCCGCATTTCTCAAGTGGGCAGATGCACGCGTGCTTCACACGACATCATAAAGACAGCATCAGTTCGAAATTTCATTAGTTTGCGAGAGAAAACAGCACAATGCTTTCCCATTCCTATATGCTGCGTAAAAGAAGTGGTGATGAAGGGAAGAAGGAAAAAAAGAAGAGAGCGAGAAGCCCCGACGGGACGCCGACCCGCACTTACCGTCCCGGCTGCACCACCCGCCAGGCCCGGCCCGCCCCCTTTATAAGCCGGCGGCGGCCGCAGCGCGGGGCTGGGCGCACCTGGCCCCGCCACCGCCCCCGGGCAGCGACCGCCCCTCGGCGCGAGGGACGGACCGACAGCGCGCTGCGGGCGGCCCGGCGGCTGCGGTTGGGCTGCGCCGCGGCGTGGCTTGGAGCAACGGGGTTGAACCGGCGGGCCCGGGGTCAAACGGTTTTTGTAGCGAGCTTTCCCTCCGTCCCGTTGCTTTTCCCTCCGTTCTTTCTCCCGTTTGTCCTACGGCCGTGTGTCCGCCCGTCTGTTCGCGATGCTACGGACGCGGCGCCTCCCACGGCCCCGCACAGCCGTGGGCGCTCCGAGCCGCGGGCGGGACGAGGTGCAGGGAGAGCCGGTTTGGAACCGAGCGGGGCCATTGCGGATCAGTGACGCTAATGAGGAGGGACGGGGCAAATAAACAGCGAGGGGATAGAGTTCTCCCAGAAAAACATTTTGAATGGAGCCTGATTTCACGATAACGCAGGCACAATAAATCAAGCCTCGGGCGCAGTAGAGAAACAAAGTCTGAGCAATTTGTCACAGCCTTTGCAGCCAAGAAAATTAAGAAGTTAATCGCTAGCTGTACGGGGCAGGCCGGGAAGGGGCGGTTTGGGGCAGGAGAGAGGAGCCGGGTGGGCACCTCCGGCCCCGTCCTGGGGCTGCTCGGCTCCTGCGCTGCCCGGCTCCGCACGGTGGCGCGTGGGGCCGCCCCACAGACAGCCGCTCCTGGGAGCGGGCTGCCGGCACTGCGGGGTTCCCCTGCTTCCTTCGGGAGTGATTCTGACAGAAGTCACTCCGTGGGGATTTACAAGGCCGCAGTTACGGGCCTCGTCTGCACCGTGGATCGCAGCATCGTAGAATATCCCGAGTTGGAAGGGACTCGCAAGGATCGTTGAGTCCAACTCCCGGCTCCACGTCCAAAATCCAAACCCTGCGTTGTTGCCTCGTTGCACTCCGACAGCTCAAGGCCGTGCACACTGCCCTGGGCAGCCCGTTCCGTGCCCACCGCCCTCTGGTGCAGATCCTGTCCCTCAGCCCCAGCTGCCCTCCCCTGACGCAGCTCCATGCCGTTCCCTCGGGCCCGGTTCCTGTCACAGAGAGCAGAGCTCAGCGCTGCCCCTCTGCTCCCTGTAAGGAGCTGCAGCCGCCATCAGGCCTCCCCTCAGCTCCTCTGCTCTGTGCTGAGCAAACCATAATCTTGCCCTACATCTTGCCCTACAGACCCTTCCTCATCTCTGTAGCTCTCCTTTGGATGCTCTCTGATAGTTTTGTGCCCTTCTTATGTTGAGGCACCCGAACTGCACTCAGTGCTTGAGATGAGGCTGCACAGCACAGAGCAGAGTGGAACGATCCCTTCCCTCACCCATCCAGCAGCTGTGCCCAGAAGAATGATGACTGTGGCTCCCTGGAGGCTGATGGAGCACCCCCAGGAGCTCCTCTTTCCTTTCCTGATAACCACAAATGCACCAGATCGTGCACACATCAGAGGGCTGGTTCTGCCATACCCCAAGGCAGTGTCCTTGCCTGCACAAGGCATGTCCACACAGAATGGATTTTTAACTTTTTGCATTGCAACAAGGAAAACAGTTGCATCAACTGTTCAAGTGTAACAGGCTGCTGCAGCTGCTGCTTCTTCTCTCTCAGATAAAATGCCTGAGTTGCTCCGTTGCCTTCCCTTCTACAGTATATTTCAGATGTGAGAAATGCCCCGGTCACAGAAGAGCCAGATTTCAAGTATGATTTAAGTAAGGAACAGCTCTGCTGGAGACTGTGATATTTTTCCAGGTACGGTTTGCTCCCTTCTTGTCACATTACTCTCTGCTTTTACAGCTCCAGTTCAGTGTGAACACTTGTGGCACTTTGCTCCATTTTGTTCATTTTCACCCATGCTTATTTCTCCGATAAGAATTTTAAAAATGTGTTTGTCTGCTGATAAGGTACAGCATGAATATTAACACTACTGACTGCAGTGCGGTGTGAGCTGCTGGTCTGGGGAACCTGTGTGAAACCCCACAGCCCATTCTGGACAGGGAACTGCTCATTGAGATCTTAATTCGTGTATAAATAATAAAATCTTCAAGTGAAAGTTGAAAATACTCAGAACCTATGGGAATGACTCACAGAAAAACCCACACTGAGAAGTACTAAACATCCTTCAAATGATTTTAAATAGAGATGTGCAAGGGTGGGAAGGCATCCCCAGATACACTGCGCTACAAAGGCCAGAGGGCAGCTTTGCAATGCCATGCATCGAATCCAGCAGCTGTCAGTGTTCAACATTCACCAAAATATTTACATTTGTCTTTGGAAATTGTTTTACCAAGAAGCAGCTTTTACTGTTCTGTCTTCCTTGACCTGAATATCATAGATCATGGCAGCAAAAAATAGAAATATCATGCTGGGTCAATACTAATTTCATTAATGGACTAATAGCAATAGTTACACATCAGAACTTTTTTCATTGTTTCACTGTTTTCTGTTGTTGTTGTTGTTCTGATGCTGAACTACTCAAAAGCTTTAATGGAAGCAAGTGGCAGCTCCAGGCTGGGATACCATTCAATTACTACATTACTTTTGGAAATCTGTTTCTTTGCTACCAATGAAAAGTATCTTGTAATTCAGGGAGAATGCGTACGAGAATTAAGTTTGTTTGAATTACATTTATCTAAAGACAACAAAACACAAATGACAACAAAATACACAAAACACTGAATGTAAAAAAAAAGGTCCTGATTTTCTAATTCGGGGAAAATTCTTTCCTTATTTCATTGAGGGTCTCAAGCACAAGACATCGTACTGACGTTCAGACAGAGAAACTCCATTAGGAAAGGTTTCATTCCAAGGGCAATTTGCAGTCCATACTTTCCTTATCTGTACATTTGGAGTTTTCCTGTATCTGAAGACTTGAGCACTCATCTAATTACTCAAACCAGTGCAAAGCAGCCAAACTCAAGTCCCAGCTACATAAAGCAGAAGCTGATGTCAAATTAATGTGCAATATTCCCAACCCAAAAATTCATCAGTACAGATACCATCAATCTTGTTGAGCTTTTTTCTAACTATTCCACTTCATTTATCAGAAACTGAAAAAATCCTTATTGTGGAAATAACTTTTTAGGACTACGAATCTTCTCACACATCATGTGCTGATGGCTCTCTTCTTGCACTATGGGACTATTAGCACACCTCTGTGTAATTGTTAAGAGTATCATACATGGAAGTAACCTAAGACACTGGTTAAAGGCAACTTATTTGCTGAGGAAAGTTAAGAAGAAGACAACTAGTTTAGCCCACTAAGTGCTGATATTTTCACATGCTTACAATACAGAACGTCTCTTCTAAATAAATTGGCAGTCACCTTACATTTTGGAATGCTCTTGCAAGGCAGTGTTAAGTTCAACATACTTAATTTTGTCTGCTTTTTAGATTATAAAGACACAGATAACATATTCAAATAGATGTCAGAAAACTTTCTTTTTTAGTTTTGAGAAGGAAAAAAAATCCAATAATGACCAACTGCACATCCTGTAACTTTTGACTTTTAGAGTTCAGCTTGGCTCTGCCATTACTTCAGATTCCTCCTCAACCTGCATCAGAGAGATCAGAGAAGAGAGATCAGACCATTACGCCAGAAGCACACCAAAACCACCATTGCTTCTGTCTCCATCAACATGCCTCAGGACCACACAGCATTTCTACAAAGTTTGTAATCAGTGTTGCCAAAAGGTGCAGGTGAAAAAGGAACAAAGTATGCTTGGTCCTGCCCTGTTGTGAGGATATCAACCTAATTTGATGATTTGGGATATGAAGGGGCCCTCAGCACAGAACTGACCAGCTTTTTCCATATGCACATAGAAATATTTGGTCAGCCATCAAGATTTTTCAAGTTAATTTTCAAGTTCCACAAGAAATAAAACCTTACTAATAGTCAAAGCAAATTCTCATCTAAATGAAATCAGATAAGACTAAATCATTTATTCCAAAATATTTTACTACAAATGATGTGTAACTGATTACATCCAACTTTACTAGACACGTTATCAGTGATTAATATGACACGGCAATATATTAACTCTCTAAGAAAGGAAGATCTTATTGTTCCAAATCTCTTTTTTTGAATTAAATTATTAGTTTGCTACGTGGGTCATTTCACAGCTGGCTCTGACTTTTCTTGGTTTCGATGCAGCAATTAATTCTGCTCAGAATGAAGGGAACAGAAAGATGTCAGTGTTTCTGCAGTTTTTGGTTACAGTGTTACTTGAGATTGAGACAGATTCAAATACATCTATTTTTAGCACTGAACTTTTATAATCCTTCAAGGTCAGGTGACTAACAAAATAAAAACAGTTTCTAGCAAAGTAGAATAAATTATTGATTACAGTCACTATATATTACATTTATTTTTAGTGTCTGTAAATAGGTATTTTGGAAGTTTCATCAGTTTCTGATCCAAATTTACAATTCATGTGTATACAGTGATGACAAAGCGTAAGTATCCCTGCATTTACTCTGACTAAGATCAGAGGAGCACCAGGAGGAGGTGTTCAAGCAGTTATGCCTTACTTTGTTTCCCTGTTAGTACTTCCAACAGAACAACAACCTCCAAAATCACTGTGGTTTGCTCTGGAAGCATCAGGATCTTTATGGAAAGGGCTGCTCTCAGACCTCCCAGGTCTATGGCCTCTGTAATGGTTTTTGATGGGAACAAGCACCAAGAACAGTAGATAATGATGGAGTTGGAACCACTCCATCCAACTCCTTGTAGCTGGATGTGATGCAACCTGGAGTGCTGTGAGAGCCAGCCAATGTCACCTGGAGATGGCTCTCATGATTATTTAAAGGTGGTGGTGAGCCAGAAAGCAGCGAAAGCAAATGTCAGCACATTTTGGTGTTGTCTGCCCTCACCTCTGCCCATAGGAACAAATCTTCCTGAAAGGGAGTTTCAGGCATGTGGGGGATAAGAAAGTGATTGAAAACAGACAAATAGCAAGGGAAGTTCCAAGTGGGCGTGAGGGAAAGACACAAATGGCAGTAAGGGCATTTGTGCAGTGCAATGGTCTGTGGCATTGCCATCCTTGAAAACCTTCAGAACTCCACAGTAGTTCAATCCATCTTCAAAGGCTTTAAGTAGGCAGTTGTAACAATAGCATAGAGATGGTGCTGTTTTTAAGCCCACACTTCATGATTTCCATCCACAATTATAGATTCTTTCTTCTCTGAAAGATGGTCAGGCACTGGAATGAGCTGCCCAGGGAGGTGGTGGAGTTACCAACCCTGGAGGTGTTCAAGGAACGTTTGGACATTGTGTTGAGGGCCGTGGTTTAGTGAGAACTATTGGTGATAAGTGGATGGTTGGACTGGATGATCTTGTAGGTCTTTTCCAACCTTGGTGATTCTGTGATTCAGGCAGTAGTGCCACTGGAACACTGGTGCTTAAATGGAGCTTGAAGGACTTCAGAAATTTCCAGCTTATACTGAGAACAAAGGGAATACTGTACTTACTGAAAACTTGCAGTCATTCATAATACATAGGAATTCAACAGCCATTGCAACTTATGTTCACAAAACTGTGCAACTGTGCAACAAGTTGACAAGGTTTGCACTTTTACAAAGCAATTGAAGAACCCAGTGGCAGGTGCACGTGCTGAAATGCTCCATTCCCATTATGCTCAATGCTGACTTACAAAGTGTCTGACAGGAGCTGTATCTGCTCAACTCGGTGATTTTTGTTTAGCTCACAGTGGTTCTTAGAGATGTTTTTTTGAGCAACCTGGTCTAGAGGGAATTGTCCCTGCCTACAGCAGGGATTGAAATTAGATGATTTTAAAGGTCCCTTCCAATCCAAGCCTTTCTATGATTCTATGAAGCCAAATGATGAACCAGTGTTTGTATCACTGCAGTAAATGAGTGTATTGAAACTGGCTTCAGCTGCAGAGCTTCCAGAGTTATACTGTGGTTTTACAGAAGTTAGTAAAACACAGCACTAGTTACTTACATTGTGAATTGGATGCATGCTTTGTGCTTGACTTGTATAATTTTGTATATTACACAATAAAAATGTGCAGTGCTAAGGCAGCTGACTAAAAAGATGTTACAGAGCTTTGAATGTTTATCGTAACAGCAGGCTGTTCAAAGACTAACAACAGAGACCTAAAGATATGAAGAATACCATGTAGTGTAAACCTGTTTCATTTATCTAATAACTTTTATAATGCAAATACTATAACGCCTGAAAAATAGATACATAAACTTTAATTTTTCCTTCTTATCCTACCCTATAGTACTTTATTCCACTTTAAAAATCACTGAGCAGCCCTCTATACATATCTCTGTTAAAAATATTATTAGTAAAATTCTCATCTACATTACGTGGAGGGTTTCAAACAGTCTGGGTTTCAGTGTTGGTGTGAGCACACAGCAGGTCTGCATGTAACAGCCTCCAGACCCAGCTGAGCCCTGCTAATTTCCTGACCTCTTCTTGTGTGCCAAACTGCACGTGCCATTTGGTCTTCTAAGGTCAGGGAGATAACAGACATCTCCTGGAAGAGAAGGCAGACTAATGCAGGCAGATGTGCCCCTGCTCCCCTGCTGACCAGCATGCAGCTCACAATGAGAACATGCCTGTAAGGAATGTGCTCATCTGGACATGGAGGGGGTACATGTGGTCTGGCTGGCAAAGCTCATCAAAAGACACACACCCTCATTCAGCTATTTGAAAAAGGGGCTGTTCTTTTCAAGGGTACAGTGTGTCTCTTTCAGCACATGTTCTATTACTGCATGAAGTGTTCCATACTGTATCTAAAGATCATTTCTCTTTCCCAATTTTGGGCACAGACAGCTGCACAGAGAACTGGAATGAGGAGGAAAGAAAGAGTGTTTCCAAATCAGCAACCTCCAGGTAAATGGCAGAATTCATGGCCAAAAAGGAATGCCTTCTATCACTGTCTTTGTGATGCTGAATGATGTGGCAGTGTTAGGTATTGCAAATTTGGTGCATATGAAGGCTACTTTTTTCGAATAACTACTACAGAAATTTAGTTTAGACAGAAGATCACAGCATTTGAATATAATCTTACATTTGTATTGATATTGTTATCTTCTGCCTTCTAAAGATATTATGAATTAGCACATGAAGAATCATTCAGGACCACATTTAGCAAAACTGTAAACACAGATAAAGAAAATACCATGAAGGTACGCAGGACGGTGGCTTTAATTATGGTCCCCTGAAAGTACTCCCACTCACACAAGGTACCGAATCTCTTTCAGAAAAAAGGCAAGCAACCACTCAATTGTCTGAATTGCCAATTGTAATCTTACAGGGACCATGGTAACCAGAAACTGCTCACACCCAATATCCAGCCCAATAGCTCTGCTTCAGCGATGCTATTTCAGAATTTCCTCTCTTCATCCTTATAGTTTAACTTATCTAGCATTCCACTGACTCCTCTCATATCCCACAACATGGCTTTCACATCCCATCAGTGGCAAGAAAACTCCTTGTGTTTCTTTTCCTCTGCCTTCATAATTAATTGCCAATTGGTACTTTCTAGACCTCACTGAGATGGTTACATTTTTCCTTCCACAACTCCACCAAGGAAAGGCAGTGAGAGGGGATGTAGCTGCTGCAAAAGGAACTCCAGACCAGTTGGAAAACGTGGTCTCAGCTCTGCCCAAGTGCTCCAGCTGGTATTGCCAAGTATTTTATGCACCTAATTCTGCATAGCGTTGAAGTACCTGCAGGCAGTTCAGTGGCTAAATGCAGCCGGAGGGTGCACAGCTAAAACTTACTTATTTGTATCTTTTGTATCTTAATTCTGTAGTTCCCATTTTTTTCTGAAGACAAGGCTGAGAGTATTCCCTATTTTTGAAGGTGCAGAAGCATGCTGAAATTGATGTTCAGTAAGAGAATGATATTTAAGGTTGCATGGAGGTAATGCTGCTCTCCCTCCCCCAAATAAGAGAACTATATTCTCTAACATGACATAAGAGCATGATTCTAAGTTATCTTTTGGGTATACAACTAATACTGATGACTACAAGTTCTTTGAACTACACAGGACTAACATGGTGGCTAGGAGATGGCTTATGGTTAGCTGACACAATCTAGAGTAGGAATTATAAGTCAACTGTATCATTTAAATACGTTGCCATATTTTCAAACACTGCACATACACTGGAGAAACAAAAGGTGACTTTCCCACCGAATTCTGAACTGCAAATCTATAACAATATTTACCTTAATGAGTAAGGAAATGTGGGCAGACACTACTGGTTACAGTTTAAGTTTACAACATCAAAATTTCAACAACTTCCTTACTCAGGGAAAATTAATAACAGCGTTTCCCATTGGAAGGTATTAAGTATCTTTAAAATGGTTGTTTGTTTTCTTTTAATTAATTCCTGCCAATATCTCTAAATTTTCAAAACTAACTTTTAAAATCCAATATGAAGTTGCTATTGTTTTTGTATTATCAAAAAAGAAAGATTAATGACACATTTCAGTAATCGAGTAATAAGTGGCTTTCTTCATTGTTCAAGCTATATGTAATCCTCAGTGGATCTTAGATGTAGGTTAAAAAGGTATTTAATGCCTGTTTTTCAGTTGCCAAGGGTCAAAAATCACCTAGCTTGTATAAAGAAAGAGGAAACATCTGTTGGAATAATTTATTTGGCTAACACAGAGGGTAGGATTAAAATTCACTGATTTCTTTGGTCTGATACTAAATTTCAATTAAACAATGGGAGTAATTGTTCAGTTTGACAAAATTTCCTTTGCTTCACACTTGGGCAAACTTGTACGTATCACTGATTACTGAATCTGACTAGGGAATACTGTGATTTGTGATTACTTCATGTCTGCCTGCACTCCAAGAAAAAATATTCTTGTATTTCGACTTGTTTTTCATCTGCCTAAACATTTTAAAGAATTCACAAACCATTTACTAATTCTCAAGACTCTTTGTTTTCAATGACATTCCACCAGTAACAAGAATGCATTGTTAAGACATATAAAGACAGAATATATCTTAAGATGAGCAATTGCACATGGAATGGCATGTATGTAATTACACATGTATGGCAACCTCTGGCATCCAGGAGAAGAGTCCTACTTTCAAAGCTTGTTTGAAATATCAAATGCATGGTGCCTTACTGTTGTTCACTATAATCTTTTGTGTATCCAATTAAAAATGTGTGTACATGTACATGTGTATATTATATATGTGTATATTATGTTAACACATATAATATGTATATAATATTATACATATATGTATACATGTATGTATATATTATATCTGTATAATCTCTCAAATTGTAATAGTTTACATTTGCAAATTAAATAAAGACAGATTGCATAAAAAATGCAATCATTGCCTTTCTAAAGTCAAAAGGAATTTCAAAAGGGCTAGGATTGTACTTCAGCTTCCTAATACTGGCAGAACTTTTTCAAGCCAAGAAGCTCATCAGTTGAACAACTTTTTAACATAACAGAGCAGAATAAGAATGTTTTGTTTTAAGGGAGACAGCAGAAGTTCTTGCACTGAAGAAAGTAAATTGGAGGTGCTGTACACGCACATTCCATTCTCTAAAGGGCACAGCAAATGAAAGCTTAGTTTTATTCAGCCTGGCTCAAAAGACAAAATACTAATAAAGATGAAATGCAGGCTGACAGAACACTGGGTTTTAATCTTATTTCACAAAGGAATGCCTGCAGCTCTTGTTTTTGAATTTCTCCATTGCTGTGTGCCTTCTGCATCAGGAAAAAAATATCCAGAATAGGTGCATTTGTGAGTTCAGTTTCTTCTTAGGACAGAATATATCCATTGCCATATGAAGAGTAAACTACTACTTCAAAATTCATTTGTAATTCCTCTTCCCTTTTTAAGGGAAAAGATATTTTTAATTGGAACAAATAATTGGGAGGAACAAAACCAAAGGAGTGAGAAGTGATAAATTGTCAAGAATAAAATAGTGTTAAATGTTGCTCAGTCAAAACTTCAAACCTACTAATAAATTCTGATTTGAATGTAAACTAAAATGCTACATTTAGTGCTTTAGTTACAAAAGAATAGCTATGTCAGTTAAATTTGTTTGTTTTACATATAGGATTCCTTAAACAATATTTTTGTTGTTGTTGTTGTTGTCCAGTAGAGCTGATAAATAACAAAAGAGTTAAGTTATAAGTAATATTAAAAGACTGGAAGGAGTGGTGTTAAGTTCCAAATACTGAACTAAACAAATACTTTTAACAGGTAACACTGGAAAAACTGAGGTCCCAAATTGCAAATCCCTATTAGATTTTATTCCCACAGTCATGTTAGAGCTGGCAAGGATGCCTTTGTGAATAGGCAATACAGACACTGAACTCTAAATTGTTTAAGCTCATCTAATCTCTGAATGTCTGTAAGGCACAGACATCAGATTTCCTTTCCCTATTATCTCATCGGTCTTCAGCCGATGCTACAGGAAAACAGTAGTCATGTATACAATACTGAACATGTCCATTAGAAGTAAGCTATAGTAGTGAAAGGTTTCTCCTTCATATAATACTGCATGCAAAGTATCAGTGTTCACCAGCGTTGTTGACAGTAACTGCATTTCCAAGAATTAACATCTGTATTGTTTTACCTTTGTTTACAATGATGATCAAATTCTTATGATAAACCAGTAACACTCGAGTACAGTTCTTACTGTTACCTAGTCTGCTGATTTGTAACCAGGAACCAGAATCTATTATCCTGACTTACAACAAAATAAAGACAACAAACACAACACCATTTAAAAAACTGAAACTGATTTGAGATGCAATTCTACCTCACATACCTGTTTTCCACTGGCTCAGTAAGAACTGTAAAAGCACTCCCCAAAAGAACTAAGAGGAAGATGGCTGAGGTACATACCTGAGTTTTCCTCTGATTTATTTTCTTCCACATTTGCTGGCAGAGGATTCCTTTTGTCTTCGTGCATCTCAGACAGAACTAAAATATTTGTTTTTTCTGTCAGAGATGGACTGTAGTTAAAAGGAAGAATAGAATGAGATGTTTCAAAGCCAGCTGCAGAAACCAAAGAAAAAAAATTAATTCAACATTCCAAGTCAAATTGTATCTATTTTAATATTTAATATAGTTATTTGTGAGTTTTGCATCTCAAAATGAATTTGTTTTCTCACTTCAGAAACTCAGTGCTTTTTCTTTTAAGGCTTTTTCCTTCAAAACTATTTTTTTTCTAAGTTTCAAACTTTTCCTTTTGCTAGTTGTGTATTTTGTAAAGGCCCTTCACAGGGCTGGCAGTATAAACAGATAAAGTAAGTATAGAAGCCTGATGTATTTCAGACATACTTACTGCAAAGCACTCAACACTTTATTTTGTTATATGCATGGAAAGCAATCATGGGTATTTACAAACATTCAAAACATACCAGCTACTCCTTCCCATGATTCTGGGAGGCTGCGGTGGGGAAATCAGAAAAATCCATGAGCTGGCTCTAAAATTAAATTTGATACTGGAAAAGTTCAATTTCAACTCCTGTGTTTTTGTCTTACTGTCACTGAAAGCCTCATTTCTAATATATTTACTGTTAGCTGCTATTACAGTGCAGTCATGAAGTAAGTGATTAGTTTGCTTACAAAAATGTAGATAGTCTGCATGTTCATTTGTCATTCTTCCTTTGCTTTTTTTCCTGATATCTTTGGAGGCTTTCCAATTCATTAGGAACACTCTTTCAATTTCTTTAATTTCTTTCCCATCAAGGTATTCTGCCAAAGAAAAAAGAACATTTTCTATGATACCAGAAAAGTATTTGGTCTCTTCAAATCTTTTTTTTTTTTTTTCCTCTTTTTTAGTCTTTTGGTAAAAAATGATAATAAAAAATCCAGTGATACATTCCAGCTTGATATTCATATTTTAATTAGATGCAGGAGTGAGTTGACATGTTTTAAATGAAAAAGAAAGCACCAATTCTTTTTATAATTTTCAAGATATATATATTTATGTTCAGCTAAAATTCTGATTTCATGATTAAGGACAAATGTTACACAATAGAAATTCAAACTGGTGTGGTAGGAACTCGTGTCACCTACGCAACCCCCACAGGCTGACAGAGGAACAGGCTTAATTTATCTTTTATAACCAGTTTCACACCTGGAATGTGAACACAAAGATGTCTTCCTGTCTTATAACAATCTCACTAATCATCTATCACTAAAACTAATAGTTACTATTACTAGCAGCAGAAGCTACATAACAAACTGTGAAGTTATTAGAGGAGCAGTTTTAGCTACTTTGCTTGTACATAAAGTAAAAATGTATAATTTGACATAACTATATAGGATAATAATTGGCTTCATATACACAGTGTCATTCAAGAATGGTTAATGTGGCAGTTATTTTCTAAAACAGAAAGAGTTAAGAGCAGGTTCTTTGATTGGCTATTGCTTTTATTTTTTACCTAAAGTTTGTGACTGTACAACAATCCTGTCCCTGTACTTTGGTTTGTGGCAGATGGGGTTTCCTGTAAGATCCATGCTGCACAGCTTTGTCCATTTGTTTAATACAACCTCCAAATCCTACAATTAACACAAGAACAGAATACTGCAGTTATTTTCCCTTCCCCACTGTAGAACAGAACAGCAGTGAGATTTGTTCAGTCAGCCCCTAATCCCGAGCTCTTCAGTGAGATTATTCATGTACTTTGAGAACGTGCACTCAACAGCATTCCATCAATGTATCGCAGCTGCACCGAAAATGGTGAAGCAGTTGAAAAAGTGTTTTTAAGGATACAGTGATGCCAGCTATGGAAAATTACCACTACAATTCCCACTGCAATCCCGCCTATAAATTCCTACAGCAGAAGAATGACCAGATAAAAATGTGCATGCATCAAGTAAACTGTGCACCCCCATGCTCTCACACAGCCCTTAGAATATCACAGAGTCTGAAGAGATTTTGAAAAATTTGTGAATAACTATTTCACAAAGACCCTAAAAAAAGCTACAAGGCCGGTAAAACACAGCAGATTCCCTCTCTATTTATACATACATACATTTTATTTTAAAGGGGGAAAAACAATCCCCACACTTTAATAACTGTGGGTGGTTGGTTATAGTATTGGCCCAAATAGTGAAATTTTTGAAATATACCTTTCTCTATTTGGGTTTCTGTCTGGTTACCCAAGGGCAGTATGACCCAGAAAAAAAACAACTTCTGTCTTTTAAACACAATAAATTCAAGGTAAAAAGATGCAAAGCTTAGCAGACTGCACCTTCCTACTCAGATACTCTCTGAAATCCCTTATTTTCAGAATTCCACTTAACCGTCGTTATTGATATGCTTCCTTGTATGTCTATAAAGCTTAAGCAAGGATTTAAAACAATGTATATGAATGCAAGAGATTTTTTTTAATGTTGTAATTTGAAAAAACAAACAAACAAACAAACAACAACCCACAGTGATTATGATTTAATAGATTCGAAACTGTGAAGTCCACAGAATTTTGTACTGTGATGCCAACAATGGAATATCTAGCAATTAGAGATCTCTTACCTCCTTCAAACTTAGAAAATCACTCTGGGAATTCTGGATTTAGGTTAAAGTTATTAAAAAAGAAATAGGATTTAGCAAGTTTATTTATTTATTCTTACCTGGGCATTCAAGCATTGTTATTGAAATTTATAACGTGTTCTGGATTTCACTAGAGAGACTTTTTTGAGGTAATAGTTTTGGAACACAACATTGTCTACTACTGAAATAGAATGTATACAGTTTAACTTTGATGAATGCATACTAAGAGTCCTGTAGGTTTTTGTTAGCTGTTACTTACTTGATAAATGACCCAGAACATGCTTACTCCAGTGTGTGTTTATCTAAGAGCGCACTAATCCTGTGCTGAAATATGATTACCCTTTCGATACGCTCTGGTTGTTCATTGCCTTCCTGTCTCTAATAAAGTGCTTTCACTTCCCAGCCTTTCAATAAGCTGTACTAAAGGGACCAGACACTCTTTTGGGCAGTCTCCGTTTGATAAATGATCATGTCATGCTATCACTTTGAGGTCTGCTACAAAATACTGACGAGCAAATTATATTCCATCTATGGGGGGAGCGGGGGAAGGGCAAGTGCCTTAGTAGGCAGCTGTAGTGCTGGCAGTAACATTCCTACCAATTAAAGATGGCCATTTAAGAATTGGTATTTGACCAGTTTGCTCCAGTTTTTATCGGAGATGTCGAGTACAACCACCCTAACTGCATCTACAGACAGCCATTTGTCACCATTTTGACTACCTGTCATAATCAGTTGGAGAAAATCTATAATTTTTCTCTCGTTCCTGACTCAATTCTGAAGTGAATGAATTCATCTTTTGTGATATCCTCTTGTCATAATCAATACTGGGCAGAGGTTGAATAAATTAAAGACTTGGAAAATACTGACTTGTATACGTGTTTCTAGCTGTACTTTTGCTGTCTAGTCAAACACTTCAGTCATAATCTCCCCAAATCTGAAGTCTATTGTTTATACATGTATATATACATATATGCACTCTGTCTTTGTGTCATCAGGACTTTTAAAATTAGAAATAGCTTTGAAAAAAATTCCCCTTAGTATTCTTACCAAAACATACAGCAAACTTGAAGACCTGGTGAGCCTATCTGAAGAAGCTCAGTGGAATGAAATAGTAACAAGCGATAGAAAGCAAAGAAAAGCCAATTCTTTAAAAATCAGTGATACTGTTGATAACTCGCATAACACGCATTTTACATGTGGCAGGCTCAGTAAATTATTTTCCATGTGCCGGGTAGAATTACTTACTTTCTGTTCTGTCTACTCTTCTGACCATGTTAGGTAAAATTCAGTAACGTGAAGCAAGGTCATATGCCTTATGTCTCTTAATTATGCTAACAATACCCTGAATTAGCCAGAACACTACATGCATGAATTCACTAGCCCTAATTTTCTACTATGCTGAAATCAGCATGGCACCATTGAAAATGGAGGGAATACAGGTTTATATCAAAATGTGATAAAAGCTGAGATAAATGTCTAAACATCAAGTGATTGTACTAATTATATAAAAAGTAAGCAAAGTTTACACGAGAAGGTCGCTTTTCATGCATTTGTTACTTTTTCACAATTCCCTTTTTTTCACAGACCCCACTTCATTCCCTCTGTCATCCACCTCTGCTACACAGCTTACAGCTGTTGAGCAGACCTGCTAAGGTCTGGATGGCTCCTCCACAACTTCTCTTCCCACTGGGTGAAGCAGAGCTGGGTACTGATTCTCCGTTGCTCCTCACTCACTGAGGCACCACCACAGTCTCTGATCAGTGCAAAAAATTCCTGGAGATGTTCTTGCTGGCAGCAATGGGGTGGTATGAACGGGAATGTGGGATTTAGAGCTGGATATCCAGCTGTCTTACCCTGTTTGTTTGACACATTTAATACAGTAACTAATTTAACAGGCCTGAAGGAATACGAATAGAATTTCTCTATACCTTCAAAACTTGGACACTCTTATACAACACAGGACAGCTACCTTCAGAAATTACCAGAGCTTGATCCGAGTTTAAATGATAGCAGCAGCAGCAGGTAACTCAAATGCTAACCACATATTTTTTCAACACCTGTGATTATATCACACGGAAATCTGTATGTCTGATTTACTGGGAGGGATATTAGTTCTTGTCTGCTCGATAAGAAAATAATGAATTGTAATAATTAACTAAAAAATATACACAAAGTTACTGAATAATGTATTGTTTTCATCCATTCATTCTGTCTCAGAAGACACTGTTTTTTTTTCCTCTGACACACTGATACCACTTCTAAGCCGGCATCCTCATCCTTAGTAACAAGCAGCTGTTTGGCTAAGATGATCTTCTTTAAGATCATCACAACTGAAGGATTTTGTACTTACAAGAAGGAAAGAAACAATTTTAAAAATCACACACTAAGCTTTCTTTTGAAATGGATCCTTTTTGAGAGGAATCCTTTTAGAAAGACATACATACCTATTTAAAAAACCTCAGTGTTGTTTTGATTTAGCCAACACATCCAATATGGTTTTAATTATCTAGCCTAAGCCTATATGAATTGTATTTCTATGTGAATTCAATTACAATTACCAGCCAGAAGCGTAGCTTGAAATACAAGCCATTAATAATACTCTAGCTAAAAAAAAGAAAAGAAAAGAAAAGAATACATTATTCAACATTTTTAGTATTAAAATATATTTTAAATAAAGAATCCAAATAAAGTATATTGACCTAGGTATTTGCTAGATACATACAGGAATCTCCTCATCAGTAAACAGAACTGCCAAGTTAAACATAAAAGGCATTATGTGTTAAGAGTTAGTTGCCATACTTGTTTTAGTAATTACTAACTTGTGGTAGTTTACTTTTTGTAAGAAAACACAATGTATATGCAAACCAGTAACAAGACAGTTTAATTTAATCAAGGTATTTTCTTGATGAATTGGGCTGTAATAGAAGCCAATTCATTTTTAGTATTTATTAACTAAATAAGTCAAAAGAAAGCAAAACATGAATGCCTCATGTTTATATGAAATGAAAACAGTGTTTATCAGGAATCATTTATCAAGTTTGTTCTTTCATGCTTGTACCATCCAGTGATAGTGTTAGCAGTGCTAGCATACTGTTCATTATAGATTTACTACTCAGTATTATTGAGCATGAAACTCAAATTATTTTTTGAACTTCTATTTATGTCAAGAAATATAAAACATCATAACTCCTAAAATAATGAGAGATGACAAGGCCAATGTTCCTGTTCCTTTCTGAGAAGTTGGAAGTTTTAAGTCCAGGACATTCTGCTTAATGGTTTAAGTGGATATGGTTATCCACTACTGCAAAAGGAAGAACAGAAATACTTTGGATTCACTTGTTTTAGTTGTTACTGTGGGACTTAGAGCTCTTGCTTATGAAGACTTATATTTCCTTAACAGAAAGAGATTCAACATATTTTTCCATGTCAAATACTTCTTATGCTACACCAAAGGCAGTCAAAAAGCCATTTTGATATTAGAAGGGCTAAAAGAACAGCTACATAACTTGATATTCAAGAATTTGCTTTTATTTACATTTAAACTGAGAGTTAAGGACTACAATATAGTAAATAGCTGCAAGTTAATTACAAAACACTGGCCATGTACTCTGCAAATTAAACTGCTAATAGTCACTCAGATGGCTGACACATACATGCCTTCTCTACATTTTATACATGTTATAACTTCTGTGCATGTTATATCTATCAGATTGATAGATGCATGCACAGTTGTGTCTTCGCATAGGATTAAAGGACATTTGGACATCTTAGGTGAATGGCTCTCCATTTTTAACCTTGACAAGATTTCTGAATAAGAAAAGCAGGCTTGGAAAATCAGAGGTTCAGAAGCTGTACAAGTGTTTTTTACTTCTTTACTTGTTTATTTTGTGATAAAGATTAATGTAACATTTTAAAAAACCATCCTTACTAAGTAGAAAAAATATTGATTTCAATACCTTCATATGTTGAAGTTGATTGTCAGCTGCTCTAAGATGAGAAAGATTTTCCAGAACTGCCAGTTCTTTTAATTCATCGATGTTGTTATTGCTAATATTCAACACAGACAAAGATTTCTGGAGGAAAAACGTAGAAAATGATTTTCTCATGCTATGCATGACTTGGTTCTAAATTCTTGATGAAAAGTGTCTTAAAGAACACGTGTGTGAAGCACAAACGTACATGCAAACATTTCATGCCTCACACATTGTTTTCTCTTGGCTTTGCACCCTATTCTGAAGTGCTGTTTATTCTGGCTCTGAGGTTAATCCAAAGTAAGCTTATTTCTCAATTATTTAAGGAATTCTTAGCAAACATAGATATAACTTTTTTCCAAACAATACAGGTTTTTTTTTTTTTCCCCAGATGCTTTACAGAGTAAAGGTAGAGCAAGTTTACCAGTTCTACCTCAGAAGTAGATAACAGAGAAATTGACTGACTTCTCTAAGGTTACATCTGAACTACACAGAGCTGAAATCCACATCTGATACCCACGCTCCCATTTAACAGCTCAACTATCTGGTTTCTCATTTCGGCTTAATCCTGCCAGCTTCTCTGTGCACATATCTCTGGTTTGCCCCTTTGGAACAGCAGTGAGTCACATGATGCACTTTGCCTTTTCTAACAGGTAATAGTTGCAGAGATCTTCACATTCTAGATAAGAAGTAAATGTAGTTCAGCTATTTATCTCAGGAAATACTTAATGTAGTATCATGTAAAACCAAGGAGAAGCTTATATGTCTACAAGATAGAAATGAGTCCCTAATGCAGTTTAGAGTTATACCAGATACTGTATTTACCGCTGGTTAGAAAATGTCTATTTGTTTCAGCACTAAAGATCATGAAACTTAGCCTCCTTTTCAGATCTGAGCTAAGAACAAGACCCGTGTTACAGACAGCAATTGCCAGTATCATTCTGATACACACAGTGTAACAAGCACTTCAGACAAATGATACAGGATACTGTCATCAGCAAAACATGTGCTCATAGTACACCGAGAGCTACACGGCCCCATGTTTTGGCTCTTTTGTCTGACATCATTAAGAGCCCCAAATGGGAGAAGATGAGATAAGAAGACATCTTGTAAAAAGGGACAAAATACTTAATGTTTGAAGAGTAAAAATAGAATGTTTTTACAGGTAGCTTCCAAAAAGGTGTAACGTGACTAAAGATGAAAAGTCTTTCTGGAAAGAAAACCCAACCAAACCAACCTCCAGAAAACTTAAATAATAGCAAGGAAGAACAATTTGCTAGCGAGTCTTTGCAAGGTGCTGCAAAACACTGAAATATATGAGCTATCATGCTGGGAAAATTGAAGCTGTATAACCCTCCTCTACTTTCATCATCTCTCCAATGCAGAGGGAAAAAAATAAAAGTGTTGTCACAGTAATGGGCCATTTATTTTAAAGAAAAATAGTAATACTTGTCTTGGATTACGACATCTCGAACCAGCAAGAATTAGAGCTAGGTGAAATGTTTATGATATACACATGAAAAGAACTCACTTGTCAGTGAATGTTCTTTGTTCATCTTCACAAAACAGATCATAAATCCCTGACTGCATCAGGAGATACAGCAAGTGAATTTTATTGCAGTACAAAACTACAAACACCAGTAATTGAAGTGTACTTAAAAAAAAAAAAAAAAACAACACCAAAAACCTATTTCAACAATAAATTTGATGTTTACTGAGCAACTAACATCTCAAACAAAAATGTCAAAAGCTGACTTCCTGGAATTTTTATGTACCACAGCATAGAAGAATGACATGACTAGAACGGAATGCTTCAGATTGCCTCTCATTATTTCCATCAAAGAGCTGTTTGCCCCTTCTGTTGGCCATTGCAATATCTAGAGAAGTACAAGAGGCAGTAAATAAATTAATGTGATAATCAAATCAGGGAAATATCAACAAAATAATTGTTTACTCCTTGCTTATACGACAATAGGGATGGGAATCCCTCAGTAGAATATGTCAGTCTGCCACCAGTTCTCAGAAAAAATACACACAACGATCGAGTCCTTCTAATCATTCACACTAAAAATACTGACCTATTGATTAACAGCCCATTGAGAATCTCTGTGTACTTACTGCCAAGGACCTAAGGGATCTGGGATCAAAGAGAAGCTTTTCACCGAGAGGGAGGTGTTGACTCTCAATATGTAGCTCCCTTATTTCTTTTAATTGATCCAAACCCTCTACTACAGTGATAGAGTTGCCCCCCAGGTACCTGAAGATAAAATACAAAGTTGGTTTTACAACCTTTGAAAGTGAAAGTGAACATAAGTCATCAAAATACTATTTAAAAAAAAGGTGTTATTGTGCAATGGTTGGAAATAATAATAGAAAAAGTAAGGTAGCGTGCAAGTAGGACACACAGCTAATGGATTCAAGCTTTTCTTAAAAAAATTATGTTTAAACAACAAAAAAGAAATACATGTTAAGATGTCATTACTTTACTCATCATAGAACACTTCACTGAAAAATCATAAGCAATTATTTTCAGTTGAAAAGGAAAACTTAACTATTGAAGAGACCTTTGTGGCAACATCTTTTTTTCATTTCTTAGTGTAACAATTATTCTTTCACCAGTAAAATAAATTCACTATTTTCAACTTACAGTTTTTCGAGGTTTTTCAGTGATGAGAGATTTTCAATCTTTGAAATGCAGTTGTTCTGCAGGTAAAGGTGTGTTAAATGTGAAGCAAAGCCCAGGTTCTGGATTTGACTGATTTGGTTATCATATAAATACAAAACTCTAAGGTTTCTGCACAATGAGATGTCACCCTGTAAGAAACAATAACAAATTGATGCCTTATTGCTTTTATTCACTGCCTGTTTCTGGAAGCTGTTGATTGTTTTTACATCTAAATCTATTATTACACTTTTAACAATGTTTTTTTCCCAGAAAAAAAAATAAATTGGAGTCAATAACAATCTCCAACATAGATTTATGATAGCAATAGCTGGTAACTGTTCTGCTGTCTAGAAGCTGAGGATTACAGCCATCAGCAGCAGGTAGATCAGATCCTGTGTGTCTTTATTCCCTTCCCTGCCTTCATCAGAAAGATTTCAGAAAAGCACAATTGTTGTGAGTTGTCTCCATCAAACCTCACAGATGTAATACAAAACAGTTCTTGGCAAAGGAAGAACAATTTCTACAAAAGGTTGCACATCAGTGTATTTTAATATACTTCTGATGCGACAGTTCCACTCAAATGTCAAGTTTCTTTCTACTCCTCTCAAAAAACTAAATGGTGGCACGTTTTTAATGAGTTTCTCCAAAACTTCTCTATGGCATCTGATGAACAAATCCCAAGAAAATGGACTGATGGAATTAACAACTCACCGTGGCCATTCCAAGGAGTGAGATGAATGAAAAAACCTATTTGCTTGCCTACGTATGTTCATATGATACAAGGTACTTTAGACTTCTTAGCTGAAACCACACTTTTATTTTTAAAACAGAAATCCATTACACACAACAATTCAGTTATTCAGGGTTCAGCCATTTCAAAATGTGCTCAGTATCTTCAGGGGATTCAAATTAACTCGGGACTTACAAAACCGGTATAAATTTCATACCATTGAGCTGAAAGGGGGGAGGGACTGGGTTAAGTGTGCAGGTTTCGTTTTTGAAAATGGAAAGGTCATGGATTATTTTTTTAAATGAATAAGCTCCAGGGAGCAATTAAAAAAAATATATGTAGATTTTAACCTGTCTAATTTGAAAAAGCCACTACAGCAGTCCAAATCTGTTAACCTCACTTGGCTCATATCCTGTTCCTGAACTCTCCTTTCCTTTCTTAGACTTCCTCTGAAATCTAAGGACTAAACCACAGATAGACGGAAAATATTATGCTGAAAGTTAACAACCCTTTATGAAATTCCCAAGAATGGAAAAAATATGGCATTAGAAGGAACGAAATGAACATTGCACTTAATTGTATGTAATATCATTACAATTTCCTTAAAAAAAAACCAAAAACCAGAAAACTGCTCTTATCAATTACAAGGGTAACCATCAATATATACAAATCTTTAAATCAAAACCCAAACTTTTGCTGAAAATCTTTTTTTCTGGGTTGGACCTAAAGTGTCCAGAACTAATATAGCTGGATGTCAGCATCAGAGCACTGCCATCAGAGTCCTGCACCTACTGATTCCATGGCAATGATCTGGCTGCAGTCTATAAGAAAGCATCAGGTCTAAATGATTAATTTAAAATATTACTTTCATGTAAACAGCTAAAGAAGTGGAGATATTTCTATTCTGGTGACTTCCTAAGAGGTCCTTTGCAATATAGCAACTGTATGAAATAATAAAAGCAGCAAACTGTGGTTTCCTTCCCTTCCCTTCCCTTCCCTTCCCTTCCCTTCCCTTCCCTTCCCTTCCCTTCCCTTCCCTTCCCTTTCCTTGCTTTGTGTAACACTGCAATACTGAAAATGCTGAAATATTGAAAAGACATTTCACTATTACACTTCAATTCACCACTCCACAATTAGATGGATTTTCTTTAATGGCAAAAACTAGTAAATGTACTGATAATGCTTTTCTTGTCTGCTACACTGATATATGTATTTCTACAGTTTCACATGAGTAAGGCATTTGAACAAGACTTTTGGTTCAGGAAGAAAAGTACATCCGTTTGATACTGAGGGACCTGGCAGACTGTTGGAGGCACTCACTTTGCTGTTTTCTATGAAAAGTTCGCTTACGTATTTCAAACACATTTGAAAACCTTCAGTATACCAGCAGACAAAAGCAGTTTTCCACACAAGAGCAACACGTTAAGCACGTTTCCTAACTGATAGATTTTTAAAGCTTAGCTTCAGATATAAATGTTAAGGAGTAACGTGGCTGCTACAAAATACAACCTTTGCTTTGCTTGCTGCTCTCCACAGCGATAAACAACTCATCAGAACAGTAACAATGGATCGCCTCACGGCCGGGTTAAAAGGAAGGAAGAGGAACGGATCTTACGATTGCATCTAGATTTTTATCTGATAGATTCAGATGAGTTATTTTTTGCAGGTGCCGTCCCAAGTCCTCCTCCCTGCGGTTCCTGTGGCCGAGGCACCTGGCGATGAGGTCAGTGGTCAGCCGCACCATGGCTGTGCTGCAGGCCGAGCCGCGCTTCTTCTCGGACTGATGTGCAGATGGGACAGAGAGCCCGAACGTGCCTACAAAACAAAGAGCGAAGTGTCAGGCTGCTCGCAGCCCGAGCCTTGAACACAGCTGCTGTGTGCATTCCAGGCGTGGTGCTTCCCCGCGGGAACCGGGGCACCCGAGCAGCGCTGCTTTGTGGGGAGCTGGCAGAAAGTGACAATGAAAGCCGTAGAAGGAACTCGCTAGCTAAGACGTTCCAGCTTTTTATTTTTGTTTTAATGAAAGTAGGAGTAGATGGAAAGCAAGAAGGACGCTATTTCTTTTCACTGAGACCCTTGCTCCTTTCTTGACGGTTTCACACGACAACCCCTCCCAGAGCAAGCACTACGGCGGCGGGACGAGCCGGGCTGCCGGCTGCGGCGGGTGCGGGACCGCTCGGCCGCCGCGTGACACCGAGCTCCACACGGCACAGGGACCTTCGCGACCCGTGCGGCGGCTGCTTGTACGGCCCCGCCCGCAGCACAGCAGGGGCAGGGTGCGCTCCCGAGAGGAATCCCGGCCGCGCTCCCCCCTCACCTCCCGGCCCGGCGGCCACTGAGGCAGCGCTCCAGCCGCCACTGCCGGCGGTTGCTGCGGCAACCAAACGCCAACAGCGTGAGGGCGGGGATCGCTCCCGCCGCGCCCAACCCGCGCTGGGAGGAGAGCGGAGGCGGGAACGGCGCCGGGTGGGAGCGGGCTTCGTCGGCCTTGATCTGAGCCGCGGCGTGACTCCTCGCATGTCTGGGCGAACCGGGGCTGCAGGCTGTTGGTTTCAAGCCCGCAGCGTCCCTGTGGTAGAGGGCTGCCGTGCCAGAGGTGTCTTCTGTCTCCTCTGAGCACGGCCAGACGTGCAGTGGAAATGACCTGCAAGATCTGGTCCAACCATCCTCCCATCACCGCTGCTACCACAAGCACTAAACCAGATCTTGCAGCTCCTCATCCAGACGCCTCTTGAACACTGCCAGGGACGGCGACTCCACCACCTCCCTGGGCAGCCATTCCAGTGCCTGACCACTCTGAGAGAAAAAGTTCTTCCTTATGTCTAACCTAAACCTCCTCTGGTACAACTTGCGGACATTTCCCCGAGTCCTGTTCATTGCCTGGGAGAAGAGGCCAAACTCCACCTCACCACAACCTCCCTTCAGGAAGTTGTAGAGTGCGATGAGGTCTTCCCTGAGCCTCCTCTTCTCCAAACTAAATAATCCCAGTCTCTCAGCCGCTCCTCATAGGACTTGTGCTCCAGATCCCTCACCAGTTTCGTTGCCCTTCTCTGGACATGTTCCAGGGCCTCAATGTCTTTCCTGTAGTGAGGGGCCCAAAACTGAACACAATACTCAAGGTGCGGCCTCACCAGAGCTGAGTACAGGGGGATGATCTGTACAGGGGGACCTCTCTGCTCCTGCTGGCCACACTATTTCTAATGCAGGCCAGGATGCCGTTGGCCCTCTTGGCCACCTGGGCACACTGTGGGCTCATGTTCAGCTGAGCATCAATCAACACCCCCAGGTCCCTTTCCTCTTCACAGTCATCCAGCCACTTGTCCCCAACCCTGTAACGCTGCATGAGGTTGTTGTGGCCAAAATGCAGGACCCGGCACTTGGCCTTGTTGAACCTCATCCCATTCACCTCAGCCCAGTGATCCAGCTTATCTAGATCCCTCTGAAGGGCCTCCCTACCCTCGGGCAGATCGACACCACCTCCCAACTTGGTGTCATCTGCAAACCTACTGAGGGTACACTCAATCCCCTCATCTAAGTCATCAGTAAAGATATTAAACAAGATAGGCCCCAGTACCGACCCCTGGAGGACACCACTTGAAACGGGTCACCAGCTGGACTTCACTCCATTAACCACTACCTGTTGGGCACAGCCCTCTAGCCAGGTCCTTACCCAAAGAAGAGTATACCTGTCCAGGCCATGGGCAGCCAGTTTCCGCAGGAGAATCCTGTGAGAGACCGTGTCAAAGGCTTTGCTGAAGTCTGTGCGGACTACAAGCCGGTCTGGTCATCCATGCTGGCCGGGCCTGATCCCCTGGACACCACGCACATGCTGTGTGATCTCACCCAAAAAATACATCAGGAAGCAAGCTTTGAGCCAAAAAATAAAGAAGGATTCTCACACCCCTGTCTTGTGGTGTGCCTACAGTGCCAAGTTCTGATGACAGCTGGTACGTTTTATCAGTCTTTTTGGTGCCCTTTTAAATGAATAAGTTAATTGCTGTTGGGAAGGGGGCTGTGCTGCCATCCATAGTGACCTCAGCAGCAGCCTCATGATGTCTAAGTCCTACATTGGGGAGGAGCAGAGGAGCAGCCCCAGGACAGGTGGGGCAAAGCTCTTCTGTGCTGTGCAGGTAGTGGAGCAGTGGCACAGGGACGGCTGTGAAGCCATTTTGTCCTGGACACTCTGCTTGAGCTGGTGACCTCCAGAGACCCCTTCCAACCTCAACCAGTCTGCGATTCTGAGAATTAAGCATATGAGTAGAATCACAGAATCCTTAGGGTAGGAATGGCCTAGATGGCCTTCAGAGGCCTTCACAGCAAGATCAGGTTGCCCAGGGGCCTGATCCACCCTCACCTTGTAAGAGATGGGGCATCAACCATATCACTGGGTGACCTGATTCAGTGCCTCATCATCCTCACTGTAAAAGAATTTTTCTTTATATCTAACCTACATCTACCCTCCCTAAGCTTGAAGCCATTTCCCCTTGTTCTATTGACACAGATACTTAGGAAGAATCTGTCCCCTTCTTTCCTGTAGCCCTCCTTTAGATACTGAAAGGCCGCTATCAGGCCATCTCTCAGCCTTCTCTAGGCTAAAGAGTCCTAGCTCTCTGAGCCTGTCCTCATAGGAGAGGTGTTCCATCCCTTGCATCATTTCTGTAGCCCTCCTCTGGATGTGCACCAACAGGTCCACATCTCTTCTGTACTGAGGACTCCACATCTGGACATTTGAGTAACATCACATCACAGTAACACAGTGTAAATCAATAACACATATGTGTGCTATGGGCTTGCTATGCATCAGCTGAAGTCAGTGACAAAATACACTATTTCCAGTGAAACCAAGATTAGGACTTTTATTTCTGACAGGAAAAATGACAGTGTTGTAAAGAGCAATCGTGTACTGCTTTGACTTTTGTTAGAAATGCATGCAAGCTATAAAGAGTCCCCTACTTCCAACCTGGAATTTCCTATATCCTTCTGAAGATACAGATCATAAGATGTCCTTATTTCAGCAATGGAATCCAAGCTGTGCATGCCCTCGAGCTGCTTGTTCTGAGAAAAGTTTCTGTCCAAAAAAAGTACTTTAATATTACAAAAGTTAATTTTGGACTTAGTCTGTTCTCCCTCATGGCTGTAGATTCTGCAGGTGTCCAGGGCTGTCTGCTGGTAATTTGATTTAAAGGCAGAAAAAAGCTAGGAGAAGTTTCAGAAAGAGTATTTATTCATTAAGATTTGAAATAGGATTCTCATCTAGTGGCACAGAACATTAAACAATCATCTGTGTACTCTCCAGTGTGGCAGTAATTTGGCTGAGTACAAACAGTCCTTGTCTTCAGATCTGCTTTTGGAAATACCTGTATAAAAACACTGGTGGCTATATTTCTTACAATTCTAGATTGGAACACTGAACACACATTTATTTCTGAGGACATAAAACACCTTAAGAGTCTCCTTTGTGTAAACACTAGTGTGCATTCTGCATAGTGCTAATTCTGTATACATGAATTACACGTGGGGGTGTGTCATACAACGATTGAGACAAAAAATCTTAGAAAATATTTAACAGTTCTAACTGTAAAACATTACATTCAAGCCTAACTATTTCTGATAAACTTTTTCAGAGCCAGGTTTCAAACTTTTATTCAGTAACAGGTAAACCTTCTTCTGAGCACCTTACCTTCCTCCTTTGTAGTTAGAGTTACATGAAATGCAATCGACACAACTGCTTCAGTATAGCTGTTTTAATGCATAAAATATCTGAAATAATTCACTCCTTCCACTGAATTTAAACATACATTTTGCATTTTATATTATCAGGGGTAGCAAATATAAGGTTCACAAAAATGTAAACTTTAATTTCAATAATTTTAATAGGAGAGTGCTGTACTGAAATATCTTTGTTTGAAAAATAAAGCTATCATCTGTTCAGTCTGACATTTTTTCAGCCCAGTTTCTTAAGGAAATTATACATGCCCTTGTTGTGTCTGCCTGTATACACAGCCTGTTAACCCATGATCTGGTAGCCAGATGGACAGCAGGAGCAGTGCAGAGGGCGTTATAGATGTGGTGAAAGACCTCCAGGTATGACCAACTACTTAGTTACAGTCAACAGGCAATAAAATGCTACAGATAAGGCTTCATTATTTTTGCTGCTCACAAATTCTGGTAAATACATAGTTTTCTCAGTAATGAAGTTTTGTCTTCATGTCAAATTCTGAAATAGGTGTATTCTGGTATAACTCCACACGTTTATATTTCTGTTCTCGAAGTGTTTCAGTTGAGACACCTACCTGAAATAATTACTTAGATAAAGCCATAACCTTGTGTACAATGTTTCATGTTCTTGGACTTGTTCTGTTGCATGACAACTACTTGACAACACCTCGGTTCTTGATTTTATTTAAGCAGGATCACTTGCATGGATTCTTGCAGAGACTGTGCATTCAAAGCTAAGGCCATTTTTCTTCCCCGCACTGGCCATGTTTGGGCAGCACTGGATTGGAGATCTTTCTTTATATAATAATATAATATAATAATATAATATAATATAATTTCTGTTTGCAATTTTATTAACACTTTTGCTGATATTGACAGCAATATTGATATTGTCAATAGAACTGTGTGAGCCTAAGCAAAAACTTAACTCTGACAGGAAATCCCTGAAGTAACTAAATGAAATAGGTAACAGGCTTGCTGAAGTTCCCAAAATGATTTCTGTAATTAAAACAGGTACAACGCCAGACAAAGCCTCAAGACCAACATGGATAATTACACAACTTTAAGGTCTATTATTACTACAAAACTATATTACCATCATTATTGGCAGTTGATGGCATTTTTTACCTTGACCAACAAAGTTCTTGCCTGTAAGACTGAGCACAGTGATTTAAAAATATTCTTCCCACGTGGAACAAGAACAACTCATCTATGTAGTATCAACCCATGTATGTATAGAGAGACAAGAAGTGAAATATCCTCTGTGCGCTTCCCAGCATTAAAATCTATTGCAGCCTGAAAGTAAAAGTGAAGCTACTAGAAAACTATATGCTTGCTACAAATGTCTTTCTGGTGCTTATAATAAGTCTTCAGTAACATTGCATTTTACCTCCAGATAATACAACAATGTTGATTCAGTCTCCAAAGATGAGTGAAAGTAAAAACTCAGAACATACTTTTACAGATTTCACCATAGAGAGAATAGCCATTAATCATGCTGCCACTTATCACCAGATAGAGCTGTAGAAGACAACAGCTTTCCATATAGTGTTGTGAAGTTTGATACACAAACCAGAATGTAGAAGTTATATGCTGCTAATACTCAGCATTCAGAAGGTGTACTGGTCTCAGCATTATTTTGTCAAACACTGCATACAGAGTGAATGTGAGTATTCATGCAGTCACTCCATGTTCTTAAATAGATTTAAGTTTTATTTACCCTCTGCTCGTCCCTGGCTTTTACACAAATATTTGTTAAACCATCTTAATCACTTCAGAATTGTACCTAGTTGTTGTAAGATCTTTTTTAAAGGAAAGGTAAACACACCACCGAAATAATGGGTTTAATGAGAAGTTAATTTTGAATTTATAAACCGTACAAAATACCTAAACCTTACTGAAGTTGGAAGAATATCTTTGATTTTTGTACCTCCACACTTCTCCAGTTATATCTCCAGCTCTGTGGAACTCAGATTG